ATGACGATTTTCTTGTTCAACGGGAATACTTGCCTTTTTGGAGCGTTTTTTCGTTTCTGCTGGTTTTTCGGCTAATGCAATTTCTGCTTTTGATTTGCGACCACGTTTCGCGGAAACTGGAGAAGCATCATCAGACATCTTGAGTTGGATATTGATTTTTTCTCACAAAATTATAGCTGCAATGATACACGAAAAATAATGATACAAGCAAATGTAATTTGCCATAAAATAGGGACTGCATCATCATACAGGACGTGCAAATAAATTCTGAATTGAAAAAACCTAATCACACGATGAGAATTTGAAAACAAAATCTTCCGAAGTTGAGAATTTGCATTCTCCTTCAGATTGAAATATGTATATGCACAATACCATTCTGAATATTCAACAGAAAACAACTACTTTCCTGGCTATTTGCTACGCCAAACATAGAATTATATATGTTGAACATCCAGAAGGAGAACAAGAGAAAGAATTGATAGTTTCATCACATAGAGAATGCGAATTCTCAACGTATTTCTTTATATATGTATATATATTCATTTTTCCATAATTCATCTGAGAATATTCCTTTTCAATATAATGACCATGATTGTGATAATTTTCAAATTCAAATCCTCATCAGTCTCTTCAAACATCTTCAAATGATATCAAATTTGAAAGAATTTATAGTGCCGTTTCAAAATAAAATAGAACGCGCATATATACAGGGCGACTCACGGTCGATGATAGTAGAACTAAAATATTTTTATATCACACTTGGGGTCCAGCGGGAATGATTACAAAGATATATATAGGTTGTTCAAAATCGAGATTTTTAAACTTCAAGATTTTTTTGTGTTGAAACTATTCATTATTGGTCAAATCAGCTCACATGTCCCTGTCTTAACTTTTGATTTACCATCTATATCTACTGACATTTATAATTGGTACGAATACGCGGGGTGGTTCAATATTCAGAATTCTGATCAGCATGTATCTGTTCTAATTAAATGTCAGTAGATAGTAAACCAGAAGTTACGATGGGGACATGTAAGCCGTTTTGATCAATAATGAATAGTTTTCCACACAAAATATTCTCAAGTTGAAAAATATCGATTTTGAACACCCCATCCCGCTAGACCCCAAGTGTGATGTATTGATGGAATTGGCTTTTCGGGGAGAATCTAAAATTGCAATAATATACAGGGTGGTAAATTAAAAAAAATCTAGGACTTTTTGATAAAAGCGGCAACGTCGCAATTTTTAAAATATATTAAATCGATAGAACAGGCGAGTGATAAAATATAAGATGCAAAATATTCAGAAAAAAAAAACCCTTTGTTGCGTTCTCCATGTCCAGATCTATGCCATGTCTATATCCTACCATCGACATGAGTTACCCTGTATAGCAGTGTTGCCAACTTGCCAACCTATCTAGTGATCTGAACTGAAATTGAAACCACCAGAAAATCACTAATTTGCAAAATGCAAAAAATTTGCCTGTGGCGCATTTTAATTCCACCCGGTTTGGTAGTTTAAAGTGGCCAAAAGGCAACACTGCTGTATGTCAGTCCTAATTTTCACTTCTCCGTGCACAAAATGGCGGATTCATGAAGGAAGATGGATATCGAGTCCACATCGCAAAATGAACATCAACGCCTGGTTTGTTAATCTGTGATTAGGTCGTATTTATGTTGTTTTCAAATAAATGCCTATTACAAATAGAGGTACATTTATATATATAAATATATATTTATGAACCAACTGATGAGCAGATGGTAATATCGAAATTCATTGAACCTAGAAATTCAATGTTTGCAAGATTGAAATAAAAACATGAAACGAAAACTTGATATCAACAAACAACAATACATTTCAGAATAGAAGCCATCAACGCCGGCGATATTTTTTTCCTTCTAGATACATTCTCTACCACTGAATAACAACAAATAGCTATCTAGTACCTACCTATAGTAGGTTTAGGGTCCTGCTTAGGTACATATTTTCATCAACTGAATTTATAATCAATGTGAGCATTATAAAAAACACAAAATATTATTTCCTCAATATTTTTCAACAAAATATAAAGCAAGTGAAAGTGTGATAAACAAGAATTAATATGAATGTATGCTATTACAATCAGCAAAAACAACGGCGTCATTCGAAAGAAGCAAATGCCGCGCGCGCCATACTCAAACGCTCAAAATAATACAATATTAAAATTCTTCCCGACAACACCCAAATATTTTTCAACAAAAATACGCAGTAAACCCGAGAAAACAATGGCGAAACAGATAGTACCAAAAATTAGCTAAAAAACAACGATTGAATCTCGGTTGGAGGACGTATACTTGCAGAGGAATTAATTTTCGAATGACAAATCCAGTAGGCCAGGCTTGGGTTTCATGGATCAGGTCGGCCATGGCAAGCAAAATCATTCGATACGACGCCGTTTTAAATTAATAACAATTCAGTCGTGGCGGCTAATCCGAAAACGAATTCGGCGTAAAATCGAATGTAAATACTAATGTTCTATAATAATTCGCTAGTTTCAGGACAAATTCCTGTGATTTTATAATAAATCGGGAAGTGCAAAATAAAATCGACTTACCAAACACACACACAAGAAGGCTATGCCGATCGTTCGTTGGCATTCCGACGAGGTCGCTTCTGGTGCCCGCCAAAAGTTCTCGACCAATGGCGGGCCGTCTAGGAGGAAATAAACTAACGGTCGTCCTTTTCTATAAACAACCGTTTTTCCTTTCAAATACTTTTATTTATATTCGGTTATATTGTAATTTATAGAATTCCCCTTGATTTTTTTGTGTCTACCGTTGCGTATTAAAACATAACCCTACTTAATGAATGTCGTGGGAAATGGGGGTTGATTCTGATCATAGAGTAGGTACGGGGGGTAGTATATAGGGTGTGGAAAAATCAATATATTATACAAGATTTGCTATTTGGACATTTAAGAAAGATATGACGACAGAACTTTGAAATCGAATGATGGAGATGGCATATGGCATCATCCTTTTTCTCTTTTATTCATGGTTGATCCATTATTCCAATTTTGAGCATAAATTAGATGACTCTTTTTTTTATTCTTCATTCAGGTCGCTGTTCGCGTTTCTTCATTGTCATTCTCATTTCATCGCACAATATGAACAGAAATAGTGATAGAAAAAAATCAAGTCTAGCAGATTGAGCAACACAAACAAACAAGCCTTTGGCCATTTTCTTCTGGAGCTTATCATAGGCGTAACGTAACATATAAAGGGATGGAAATAGGGTTATAAATCAACGGTTATAATATATAGAGCCCTTATTATATATACCTATACTTACAAACGCAGACTTTTTGAGGGATTTTCGAGTGATAAATCGGTTGATACCATCTCTAGTATCAGGATTTGATTGATTCATTTAAATGATGTGATATGAAATTCAGCCAATGAAAATGGATTATAATATATATTGTTATAAGCACTCTACGGTCAGTACGATGAACCCTAAATGGCGGCTTCCATTAAAAAGACATTCGATTTCCATATTTGGCATATTTATGTCCTCGCGTTATACTCTATATATTACTATATCGTATTCGTAGAAATATGGGGATATTTTTCATGTATATGAATGCTTATATATATTATATTATGTTCAATTTTTAATGATATGCTGTTGAACTAGAAAGTTCAATAGATTCTGATTAAAATCTCAAAGTTTTTAGGGGAATTGAATTATATTGGTCAGACTTTTTTTTCTAAACTATATACTTTTTGATATAAAAAGTAATTACACGATTTTTTTCATAATTTCTGATGAACATTCCTGTGAATAAATAAGTATCTATAAAAGAGATATCTAAAATTATGCAAATAAGGGATCTTTTGTGTTGTTCCCCTCGAGCTGTTTTCCTTTACCGGATTTATTTCATGAAATTACTACCTGCATACCCGCCCTCCTTCAGTCTGGTTTCCCATGGCAAATTTATTCCAATATCTTTCCTTCTGGGACCCTAGAAATTTCGTTTTTTATTTTAATTCCCACAGTCCATATCAGTATTCATTCCTTGCTCACATTTACCAGTGTTCAGGTAGGTATGAGCATAGACGTATGAGGTATAAAAATGATGAATCTAAAATTCTTCATGTCACTAACTTTTGATTTACTATTTACTGAAGACCAGTGGACCAATTTTTTTTATTTCTCAAATAGAATCATTACTCAAATATCTTTCAGTTTCATATTTTTTAGAACTTTTCGGTCGATTTTAAGGTGCAAAAATCATCAATAAAGCCAGTAAAAACTAATAAATTTGTGTAAATAATGATATTAATTCACACTTATTCATTTGAATCGGTGAACGTGACAACATGGCGCAGGACCCGTGGGCGTGGTCTTATCAGGTCATATCAGCATTCAGCAGTTTCAGCACAATGTTGCCAAGTCTGCTACATTTACATATTTTGTTGGATGGAGTATAAGGAATATTTGGACATGCAGTTTTTTTTTATCATGGGTTCCTCCTATTATGTTTTTTTCAACGACAGGACAGGTTATAATAATAACGAAACAGCATAAAAACTGACGTCACCATTTATATTTACTGGCGGTAAATTTCTAGCCGTTTGAAAATTACCAAGGCATTATTAGCACCTGAAAATCGACCGGAAATTCCTAAAAAATATGAAATTGTATGATATTTGAGTGACATGATTTTATTTAAGAAATGAAAAACATAGTTCACTCGCCTTTCAAGCGTGTTACCTTATAAAAATTGCATCCTTGTATTTTCATATTTTGTAAGAGAGCCCTAGGGCTCTTTCTTGCAATTTCTAGATATCACGCTTTCTTGCCAAATAATCGGTAATTTTTGTGCACTCATTATGACCTATTAATTCCTCTAGGAGTTGATTTATCCAATATAAAAACTGTCGATTTAGATAATTCTAATATTTTAAAAGCTGAAAAAAAGTTGAGACACAAACAAATATTGATTTTTTTAATTTTTTAATAAAAATTATTTCAACATAATCGCTTTATTTACATATTCTTAAATGAAATAGATAGATAAATATATAGAATCGTGTGTCAAAGTGAAAAACAAAACAAAAAATCGGAACCGGAAATAATTTAGTTGTACTATGGAAACACAAATTTAATTCTTTACACGCGCAGCCAGTACATTTGCGACCTGATGACGTTGTAATCTGGAAGGTTCTCCACCGGCCCTACCGCCGCCACTGCCGGACACCTGTCATACAGATATTTGTAGCAGACGTCTTTGACGTTCTTGGCGGTGATGCTGCTGATGCGGTGCGTCAGCTCATGAGGGGGCAACCGTCTGCCGTAGCACAATAACTGGCGACCTGAAAACGATAATAACGTTAGTTTAAAATAGGAGAGAAATTAAAAAAAAATACATTTTCATAGACAAGCTTCCATGAAAATTCAATTTTGATGGAAGAATCATAATTTCCGACCCACAAAACCCCCAAATACAAATTTTTGAAAAGAATCGGATCATAATTACAAAATTCGTTCGCCATATTGGATCAGCCATGTTGGATTTCTTAATTTTGACGAAATAATCATAATCTCCGACCCCGAAAACGCCCAGATAACAAGTTTGAATAGAATCGGATCATAATTACGAAACTCGTCAGCCATATTGGACCCGTCATCTTGAATTTATACATTTTTAGGAAAGAATCACAATCTCTGACCCCGAAATCCCCCAGATACCAATTTTGAATAGAATCGTATCATAAATACAATACTCGTCCGTCATATTGGGCCCGCCATGTTGAATTTCGTAATTTTGACGAAAGAATCACAATCTCCGACCCCGAAAACCCTCCGAAACCAATTTTGAATAGAATCGTATCATAAATACAATATTCGTCCGCCATATTGGGCCCGCCATGTCGAATTTCCTAATTTTGATGAAGGAATCATAATCTTCGACCCCGAAAACTCCCATATACCAATTTTGAATAAAATCGGGTCATAATAATTACAATCTTCGTCCGCCATTTTGAATTTCTCAATCTTGACGAAAGAACCATAATCTCCGACCCCGAAAACCTCCAGATACAAATTCTGAATAGAATCGAATCATAATTACAAAACTCGTCCGCCATATTGGAGCCACCATCGTGTATTTTCCAATTTTGACAGAAGAATCATGATAGCTGACCCGAAACATCCCGATATACAAGTTTTGAATAGCATTTTATGAAAAAATAAAGGATTAAGGCGGGTAAAAAAAATATGTTGGTAGACATGATTAATTTCTACAAGCATTTTATTTCACTGTCACTGTTTTCGCTCTTTAGATACAAAACATTCAACAATCAGACATGACACTTTATACGCCGGTACCTTAGATATTCATTATTAGAATACGTGTCTTGGGACTCGTAAGTCTCGGATTATTTAGATGAAATGAAAATGACAAATATCTAACCAAACATCAGGTGGGCCCTTCGAAGGCGCGAATTCATTACTGCACGGGAGGTTCCCCTTCACATTTTTTGCGTTTCAGTAACTTGACCTCGAATAACTTTGACGGTTTAGTCTTCTGCGTAACCAGAATGCAAGAATTCAATACTACCTGAATTGGTCCATCTACAGACGGGTTGCAACATATAATTTATTTTGATTGTAGTAAATTATTTCAGTAAAGCATGTTTTCAGTTTTTGGAATTTCTTTGTATGTGGTAATTTTATAGTGGTCGACGGAGTTTCATCTGAGTCTCCCATCATCATAAATGCTGGTGTTCCGCAAGGATCAATTCTAGCACCAACACTATTTATATCAACGATTTGTTGGAAGCAACTTCATGTCCAGTACACAGCTTCGCGGATGATAGTACCCTCCATACCGCCTTCTCTTCTAGGGCTCCAATGCCAGCCAAGCAAATCAGAAACCAACGAGGGAGAAATGTTGACAACATAAATATGGACTTGGCAACAATTCTCGAATGGGAATCCAATAACTTGGTAGACTTCAATGCAAACAAAACACAAGCATGCCTTTTCTCTAGAAAAGCCGATCTCACTTTGCCAAACATAAGCTTGTCAGGAGTAACCATACCTTTGAAGACATCCATTTCGATGCTTGGTATTACTATCAGCAATAACCTTTCATGGGAAAATCACGTGAGATCAATTGCTAAAAGTGCATCCCAAAAACTTGGTTTCCTGTTTCGGGCCAGGAGCTATCCAGTCAGCTGCTTCCCATATTTGGAGTGCAGCACCCAAACATACCCTGAAACTGTTGGACTCTGTCCAAAAGAGGGCAATTCGTCTCGTGGGTGATGCCTCGCTCACAAACTCACTCACTTCTCTGGAACACCGCAAAATTGGCGATCTAGCTCTATTTCATGGATATTTTCATGGACGATGCTCTTCTGAAATATCAACAATTGGCAGTCCCCGCGATATTCACCCGTCGAGTTGAGGCTTCGCACCCCTTAGTGGTCACAACGAACAGCGAGGCTCTGGTACACATTGCTAAGGGAGGTGTTCCCCGAGGCATAAAACCTCCAGAAATTCAAGAAGAACGCCAATTCCTACCTTATTTCCGTTGGTTCTCATGATATCCCTTTATGTGGAAACCACGGTTTCAACGCCAGCGAAGCCGCGGGTAACAAATACATAATTCACTTGTCGTTCGATTTTCCCTATAAATTAGGATAACGTTTTTGACTCCCCTTCATAAAATTAAAGCAAAAAAAAGTCGAACTCGACGATACTGGCATGGCCCATTTTCGCAACTCCGCCAACTCACCGATATCCTCGCACACGGCGGTGGTGGTGTCCAATTGGAGGAACGTGTTGGGTATGAGGAGGGCTTTGGCGCGCTCCACCTCGCCCTCGGTCACGCTGTTGCACAGCCGCATGAACTCCTGCTGGATCTGGAACATCATGTCGTCGATGGTGAGCGGATCGGAGACGAAGTACACGCCCCACAGGCCGGTGTCCTACGGAGGAAAGAAGAAACGTGATGAAGAAGAATAGGTACCATGGATTATTTCCCAAACACTCCTGGCAGCCATCAGTTGTGATGAGAAAAAATTCGAATCGACCAATAGCATTTGGAATAGAGCAGTTCAGCTACCGTTGAGAGAGAAAAAAAATGTCTTCCCATCTGTCCTTGTCTTCAGTGTTCCAACATGAAATAATGAAAATCTTATGTTGCCAACACTGGAAATGAGAAGAAATGGAGAAGAAGACCGTTCTAACCTTCTATTATATCGAGGTTACATTTTTTCTCTCTCAACGGTAGCTGAACTGCTCTATTACACTGAAAATTCGCCACCAGTATTTTTTTAACCAATCAAATTGGATTTTTTGACAAATCTACAACGGTTTCAAGAAAATAGTGGCACTAAAGTGGCAGTATTACAAGTGATAGAAGCAATTCAAAAGGGAATTGATAAAGGAAATCACATAGTAGCTGTTTTCATTGATCTAAAAAAGGCTTTTGATACAGTGGACCACACAATACTTCTGGATAACTTGGAATTCATGGGACTCAAGAGGCATTGTGAGAAATATTTTAGCTTCATATTTTGAAAATCGGACAAACAATTCCAAATCTGCTCATTCTGAGTCTCATGAACTGTCAATGAATAAGGGTGTTCCACAAGGATCTGTTTTAGGACCAATACTGTATCTGCTTTATATTCAGAATATCACGAAAGTTGGTTTAGCGAGTAATTATACCATATATGCAGACGATACAGTGCTTTTATATGACAACAAAAATCCTCTGACTTTAGAAACTGTGATAAATGATAACGATCTGAAATTATTTGAAAAATGACTGCACTCTAACCTTGTATCAAACAGAAAATTCAGCTCAATCTCCAAACAAAACTGAACAGATAAAGGATTTAGGTATTTAGTTTGATGAAAAATTGAAGTGGGACAAACATATTGAGGTTCTGACAAAGAAAATATCTCCTTTTATTGGTGCACTGAGAAGATGTCACAAACTCAATATGAAAATTGCAAATATATTCTATTCACATATACTAAGTCGAATCAACTATTCAATAAATGTTTGGGGATCTTTTGTTATAAAAATGATTGTAATAAAATATCAACGTTATATAGGAAATCATTAAAAGTACTGTATTGTCTTCCATATGATACACCAACAACTGAACTGTATGCTTTAACAAAAACATGCTCTTGAGAAGAACTGTACAGATTAGAGACTCTGAAAATTTCATACAATATAAATAAAAAATTGAAATCTAATATTATTTTGACAAGAAATTTCGAAATTCATTGTCATTGAACTAGACAATATAACTTATTTCACCTTGATGCTGCTAGTTCTACACTCGGACAAAAAATATTCACTCATGAAGCCTTATCTGAGTTCAATAAACTACCAGATGAAATTAAAAAGTGCAGAAATATAGGTACATTTAATGAGAAAGAAAAAAAAAACTGATCATTTCTGAGAGAAATTTATGTCCTTGACTACAACTCTTTTCTTTGTTCATTATGATTTATTATTCATGTTCACTTCTACTCATGTTTGTGTAGTAGTTCATAGATATGTATTACTTATTATTTTATAATTATGTTCTTCCTCATACCAGAACTTGTTCTGACTGGAAGATATGTTTGATAAAAATAACGTACCTATCTTTCAACTTATCGAAAAAATAGAGACTGTCGCGTATATTTTTTTACGTAGAATCCAGTGGCGTAGTCAGATTTTCAGAATAAGCTGTATTAACACCCTGTATATTTTTTTATATTTGAGATATATGAATGGTGTAAATTATTCGAATACCACACGAGGTTAAAAAATTTTCGGAGATGATTCAACCTCTAGTGGTATTACAAATGACAAATCCCTTCCTCACCTTGTAGCAAGTGTTGAAACTCTGATACGAATGGCAGAAGTTCCCTTCGCCGCTGGCCCTCGCCAAATTGGTGGCGTTCTGTTTGGCGGAGGCCTGCGACCTGTCCCACGCCCCCATCAGCGTCGACGCCACCATCAGGGTGAGCGTGTCGGGGTCGGTCCACCCCGCCGACTCGACGGCTATGGCGACGTGCGCCAATGGTAGCGAGTCGTCGCGCACGCGTATCTCCGAGCCGGTGAAGCGGCACGGGGTGACAGAAGGAATTTCACCGGGGTAGGTGTTGTCTAAGGCGAAGAAATTGGGAAAATGTCAATTCAAAACTCTCAACTTGGCAACACCGCAAAGAATCCTAGTAGGAAGACACTGTGCATAGTAGGTTTAATGTTTTGTATGATTGGTTTCGATCGTTTCAGTGAATTGTTGAAGACATTAGGTATGTGGTCCTTCGAGCCGGATATATACAACAGTGACGTCTTAATCTATAGACCTAAATCAGACTTTTTCGTCAATAAATATCTTTCGACTGCATCGAATCTGTAAAGTAACATTGAAACTATCTGAACCAAACATTATGAACATAAAAAACACCGCTTATGGCTAGGTCGATTGCTCTATAAGAGTGTTTGAACTTTCCAAAATATCAAATCAAAACTCATAACTTGTTGAGATACATAATAAAATGAAGAATAATAATTAATTTAGGGTAAACGTGGCAACACCGCAAAGAATCCTAGTGGGAAGACACTGTGCATAGTAGGTTTAATGTTTTCCGGCTTTTGTGTGATTGATTTCGATCGTTTCAGTGAATTGTTGAAGAAATTATTTATGTGGTCCTTCGAGCCGGATATACAGGGTGTCCCAAAATTGCTGGGACACAGAGCTACCACGTGTAGAGGAGGTCAAAATAAGTTGATTGGACCCAATTTATTTATGTGCCAAAATGTACCGTTTGTCCGTGAGAAGGGTTCAAAGTTCACTTGAAAAAACACATTTTTGTACGCTGTTCAGGAATAAGTGAAACGAATTTGATGAAATTTGGCGATAGTGTATTTCAGAGGATTACTTTCCTTTTGGTAATCTAAGAAACCTAAAAGAAATTGTAGAAGGGTTGAAACCACCCTCACCCCCTGACGTTTTTTTCAGAATTTTTTTAAGGGTCATGATACGGTTCTGAAATTTTTTGAGCTTGAAGACTCATCAATTACCTTCATTTTATCACTCCTGTAAAAATTTCGTATACCAAATAGTTTCGAAGAAAAAAAATGTTCTCTCAAATAGTGCTACCAGATATTCCTATAGTACAAGTTTAATTAAATTGTGATATAAAACTTAGTTGGCAGTGGAAACGCAGGCAAGTCGTGATTTCGACAGGAAACAAATTTATTGTCATTCAAGTTCCTTGTTGACGTTGTTTGTAAATGTTTCAATAAATTCTTCAATTGTGTTATTACCGCGGGTACCATTACTATAGGAATATCTGGTAGCATTATTTGAGAAAACATTTTTTTTCTTCGAAACTATTTGGTATACGAAATTTTTACAAGAGTGATAAAATGAAGGTAATTGATGAGTCTTCAAGCTCAAAAAATTTCAGAACCGTATCATGACCCTTAAAAAAGTTCTGGAGAAAACGTCAGGGGGTGAGGGTGGTTTCAACCCTTCTACAATTTCTTTAAGGTTTCTTAGATTACCAAAAGGAAAGTGATCCTCTGAAATACACTATTGCCAAATTTCATCAAATTCATTCCACTTATTCCTGAACAGCGTACAAAAATGTGTTTTTTCAAGTGAACTTTGAACCCTTCTCACGGACAAACGGTACATTTTGGCACATAAATAAATTGGGTCCAATCAACTTATTTTGACCTCCTCTACACGTGGTAGGTCTGTGTCCCAGCAATTTTGGGACACCCTGTATACAACAGTGACGTCTAAATCAGACTATTTTGTCAATAAACATTTATCGACTGCATCAAATCTGTAAAATAACATTAAATATATCCTTACCAAACATTAGTAACGTTGAAATATGGTGCAAAGCTGCTCTAGCTTGGGCGCTTGCTCTTATCAATGACAAGAGTGATTCAAATATTCAGAATATCAAGTGGCTTCACTATATTAACCAAGAGATTAATTCAGGGTAAACGTGAAAACATCGCAAAGAATCCGAGTGGTAATACATTGTGCATAGTAGGATTATGTATTGTAGAATTTGTGTGATTGGTTTCTATTGTCTGTGGATTGTTCAGTGAATATTTTTGTGGTCCTTCGAGCCGGATCTATAAAACAATGATGTCTTCATCTATGGATCCAAAATTGTCTATGCGCTGAAATTCGCTAGATAGCCGTTCTGCGAAGGTACTGTCGGTTCAAATCCAGCTTAAAAATGGAAGTGGTTCTGATTCCACTATAAGCTGTAGGTCTCGCTCTTCCTAACCCCGCATATTTCAACTTCTGGGGAGTTGGTTCCCAACTCCAAAGTAGTGATAAACAAATTTAACAAAAAAAAAACTCACTATTTTGTCAATGAATATCGTCGAATCTGTGAAATAATGTTGGAACTATCCTAACTAAACATTAGGAACATAGAAATATGGTGCAAAGCTGATCTAGCTAGGTTGCTGAAAAGAATGATTGAAATATTAAAAATATCAAATGGCTACACTATCAAGTCACCACAGTGAAGCAAATTCACTTTACAAAAACCATTTATGATCTAAAGAAATCTCAATTCTTTATATTGGCCTTGGCATGAATCTGCCCATGATTCATCACAATTATCGCCATTATTCGGCATGTTTTCAAGATACATTGGTGGTGTTAGATCTGCCCCAGTGTTGATTATTATTGTTTATATTCTTATTATATTTACTAGTTTCCTAGGATTAGTTTCCATTGTGTTCAGTGACATATCATAATGTTATAGATCTGAATCATTTTGTGAATAAAAATGGTTCACCAGTGTCAAACCGGTAAAAAAAAAACATTAGAATATTCCAAATATCACATAATTTCAATATAACCACATCTTACATGCATACTTTTATAGAAATCACAGTTCATATATTTATTGCATAAATCAATGTTATGTAGTTTGTGGTTGAAGCCTGGTGCAAAAATCAAAAGTATCCCTGGAAAGAATAATGGCATCCTGCTTTTTTTATTTCCTTCTGTATATTCCCATGAAATTTCAAAATGAACACAAAATAAAAACAGAAATATTGATAACAAAAACACCCAGAACACTGACTTACTCAATTTACTTAGATTTCCTTCAGCAAGTTTGACCAATTCTTCATGGTTCACTCCTCCTGCACCAGCAACAACAATCCTGCTTGCTTTGTAATGATTGTCCAAGTAGCTTCTCAAATCAGAGGCATTTATTGATTTGATATTTTCAGTTGGACCTGCCAAAATCAAAGATCATGAAAAAGTGTTTGAAACTGAAACAATGCATCCCAATTTCATTTCATCTATAAAGTTCATTTCATTTCCACATCATTTTATCATTCAGGATCACCATCAGGTGTCACACCAAAACTACTGGAAAACAAAGGAAATGTCATCTTGATGTCTTATCATATGTCATTGTTGAGATGTGCTTTTGGTGGTTTATCTGGATTTCCAAATTATAATTTTCCAAATGCCTATTATGTACATAAATTAAGCTTATATCATTGAGTATTTGAGTGGGAAATTTAGGCCTGTGGCTGGAGGGGAAGCAGATGTTACACTGTGCAAGGTAGAAGATGTGGAAAATAGACTAATAATTTTTAGTCTTTGTTTATAAAAATCTGTATTGAAATCTCATCCACAGGAAATCAAATTGAATTTGGGATCAGTAGGTACATACATCTGTGACTCATTGGATCTGTATATGCATTTGCACAGCCGTCTTCAATTGAAAGCCATGAAGAATGAACTTTGGCAACATTGTCCGAACGACCGAACGTGAACCTGTCGGCCATTCAAAGTGTATTGTGTAGGAAGTAAACAAACAGTTTATGGAAGGTTTTGTTGAAGTTTTCAATTATTAATTGCTGTATTATTGAGATCAAATAATTTTAAAAGTATTAGCAACAATCTAGGAATTGACTCGAGACTGAAAATGTGTGGCAAGTGCATTCAAAATTGTGTTAAATTGGAGGTTATAGTGAAGTGTACTAGTGCTGGTGTATTTGCAAGGGAATTTGCGAGGGAATTTGTGTTGTTTTTTTCAATTTACTCCTGGAAATAAGTAAGTAATTCATTATTCCTTATGAAATATGCCTTCTAATTGTTGTGTGCCAGGATGTAAGTCAAATTACAGATCTGAAAAAAGCTGGGAAAGGAAGGATCATGTCTCAGTTTTTTTATTCCCGAAAGGGGAAAAATTGTGGATAACAGCAATACCTCGAAAAAACTGGACACCATCTCAACGTTCTGCAGTATGTGCAATTCATTTTATTGAAAAATATATCATCAGGTATGATACATTCCCTCTGCCAGATGGATCAATTGAAAAAATTCGTTATGAGCACCAAAGGTCGAAACAGCAGTTACTTCAATTTTTCCAATTTACCAAAATATTTTTCAAAATCAGCCAAACCATAAAGAACTGATCCAAATGAAAGACGTCAGAAATATTTAGATATTCAAAGTAATATAATAGAACAGTTTGAAAAATCAGACCTCATCCACAACTATGAACAGTTAGTTAGGTAATATGTTGAGAAAGTTAAAATTGATACTTGGAAAATCCATAAGACTGATGAAAAATTGTATTTTTATGAATCAGATTTGAAAGCAAATGTTTTTTATCCCAATGATGTGAATACTTTACAAATCGTTTCTCAAGTTATAATATCCAATGAGATGGAGGTCCAAGTTTTTCTTGGTGATAATAAACTTGGATTCAATGAATTGAAATGGATTCTTACTCATGGTATGAACTTGAAAATATTCTAGCTAGATTCAAAAATATCTCAGATCAAACTGACAAACACTCAGATATGAATGAAAAATTCGATATAGGTCTCCATAAGTTTTATTTTAACAACATGTTCAAAATTACGGCTTCAGTTCATGACCAAGGGAATTATTCAACCACATTATTCCTCGTTCTTCACTCTGTAAGTTCACTCTCGTGTATTTTTTACCTATTCCACAAAATAATCCGAGAAAATTACGTTAAACCAAACATTCAAAGCTCGCGCTCATATAAAACCATTGTATTGCTAGGCGCGAATGGGACCGACGGTTTCCGTTCGTGCGACGTTGCCATTATCTCAGCACGGCTTGATAGTTGAAGACGGCTGTGGCATTTGTAAATCAGGTCAATCTGGCTTCTGTAATATGTTGTTACTTTACTGATATATGTAAATCAGTAGGTAGATATTGAATTTGAAATAAAATCTTCTGAATTTTCCTATTTCAATCTGTTTTTTAAATTCATTCACCAATTCCTGTATTTTTGGGAGGAAGTGCATCAAAACATTCTGATGTATAATTATTATACTCCAGTACAGCACAAAAATTCTTCCATTGACTCATCATAACAAAACTATCAAGTTTAGATTCACAAATACAAAATTAACAATTAATGGGAAGAAAAGGAAATATTCCATAATATATCACCAAAATGATCACCACATAAAGTAACATCTTGACAATGACTTTGACACCTGTCCTCTGAGACTTGTCTCACTTGTTCATAATGTAACTTTATAAATGTGGATCCACAAAAAATTATCTGCTGAACAAGGTTTGCATTTTATATTTTAATGATACATCAAAGTTTCAACAAGTGAGAAAGTATCTTGCTCACCTAATATGGTATTTGCCAGTGGTGTCCCTTGATATGCAATGGCATGCAGATGATCAAACACAACTTCCTGTAGATTTGATTCTACTTCCTGCATTTCTCTCAAGATAACCCCACGTTCTCTTTCAATTTCAGCTTCACCCAACTTGGCATTCTGAATGATATCTGATAGAATCTCAATGGCATTAGGAACATCTTTGGCTAGGCATTTTGAGTAGAAAACTGTCTGTTCTCTGCTAGTATAAGCATTCAGTTGAGCACCCAAGTTTTCAACTTCAATTTCTAGCTGACTCTGGGTTCTTTTTCCTGTACCCTTTGGACAAATGATATTTCAGTGTGGAACTAGACTTTATAATATGTTATATTTTACCTTGAAAGCCATGTGTTCCATGAAATGGGCAACACCATTATTTTTGGCATTTTCATATCTGCTACCAGCATCTATCCATATACCAACAGTTGCAGTTTGGGAGCCCCAGTCTTCTGTAGCTACTCTGATTCCTGCATTCACATCAAGGATCAGTCAGCTTATATGGATAAGCAAAGTTATGACATAACATGAAAATGTACACTTACCATTGCTCAAAGTTGTCACTTTTGTAGGTGGAACGTTCAGAAGAAGAGATTTTGCCTCAGCCTGAGCTGTCGATGCGTGTCTGAAGATGTTATAGGTCTAGAAAATATATTTTTTTACTGGACTTTGACAAAGTTGGATTACCTAAATTACGTAATGTCATAACCTCAAAAATGATGCTAACGAAGGTGTTTTTGGTGTGAGGCTAGAAAATCTTTTTTGTTAATTTTGGTAGTAAAATGGGAACTTACTTGAAATATATTATTATTTTTGGATAATTTTGCTACTGACTGGGACACTTTCAGCAAGGACGCCATTTTTGTCCAGATAGGCTGACAGTAGTGGAGTAGTGACAGCGAAGTGCAGTGTTGTCACAGAACTATATAGTAATATGAGTTCTGTGAGTGTTGTGTGTTTCCAATCAATGATGGCTAAATATCTAGAGTTTCTGACGGGATATCCCGTCATAGACTCTCTAGATATTTAGCCGTAATTGTTCCAATATTTCAATAGAACTGCCCTAATATCTTAGATCATTCCTGTATGATCTAAGCCTAATATACTCGAATGACCAGTGGCGTGGACTAACTCTATGAATGTTAATGCAACTGGTAGTTCATGGATTCGTTTGAATGAAATTGATATGTAAAATTGTTCTGGAATATTTTCGGTGATACTCGAGGTGATACCAATTCGAAATATTCAAATATCGACTTACGTAAAACTGATTGATGTTGCAACAATTTAGTCAAGGAATATTGCTTTATTCAAATGACCAAATCACACAATTTCAAAATGTTTCCATTACAATAACTCAAGTAGTACAACTCATACAAGAATGATTTGAGTTTAAGGTAAATAATATTGTGTTCTCTACAAATTTTTCTTATTTTTATAATACTTGGTTCATCTTCTAGGTCTACAAAATACTGGCATACATCAATATCAGTTGTAAGGGTCAAAATTGCTGTTGAATGCCTGAATATTTCCTGTTCTAACAAGAAAAAGAAGTTTTCCATAAATCTGGATATTATCTCATCTAAAACAAAACAAAAATATACCATTGGTAAAAATGACCTGTTAAATGATTTCTTACTGTCTGTATTCCACAAATACTTTAAGAAATTCTGTTCATATGCATCAAAGGAAATATGGGGATCAGAGAATGTGTGGAGTACTTTCTCAAGAATACTGGATTCCTCAGATTCTCTACTCATGGACTTCAGGTTCATTGTAGCATAGGCTAATTTTATCAGACTTTTTCTATGCTGAATAGTATGACTCACATTACTTGTTTTATTATCTGTAGACTCATCAGCTAGAAAGGTTCTTAAAACATCATCATTTGCATTATGGTAAGATATATTTTTCCTTACATGCAAGTTATATTTCAGATCCAAACTTTTTTGATCTTCTTCTTTGATGAATTCTAGAAACAGAATATGAAATATATTTGCAGAAATATATTAATTGCATAAATTCCAGAACACACCTAGGTGTTTCATTTTCTTCAAATATTTCAAATTTTTCAACCCATAGTGTTCTTTCAGTTCATGAGATATGTGGTAATGGATTTTGCTTTGAATTTCATCACTGCATGTTCTTGTGAAACTTGCTAGCTCCTCTTCATCTGTATTTTTGAAACTTTTCTGGATCAGTTCTAAACATTTATCAGTACTCCTACCAATATGGGCTTCTTTGACCTCACAGGTAGTATTTATGAATCTCTAAATGAATGAATGAATGGGTTTTCAAAATATTTCAATTGATATTGTGAAGATTTATTTACCAAAATATTCAATCTCTTCCTCTTCAAGCTGCTGGCAGATGACTTCTGCTTGAGGGATTCATATATTATGTTGGTGAGGTTTTTTGATACCAAATTGACTGTTTTTCTTTGAAGATTGGGACAGTCGAAGTCGTAATTAGTGGCTTCTTCATTTCTCAACAAAATTTTATAAATTTGATGCTCAGTCATAGTCGTAATGAGTCGCCGTAGTCAAAAACCTCAGACATCATAAATGATTTTGAATTTTGATATTTTTGATTAACATAACATAACCTACGACCATAACTTGATATGACATAACCACAAAGACGAAAGAAGGAAACTGTTAAGATAAATTCTTCTTCTGTTTCATCATTAAAAGTCGAGAAGAACTTACAAAAATGTGAAAATCTGTCGTTTCCCCCTCATGATCTCAGTTGTTCTGTGTCCCGCCATTTTATTTTTGTTACAGTTTATCGATACCGACAGGGTAAAAATATTTTGTACCGATTACCGATTGTTCAAATTTCAAATTCAAAACCAAAATGGAAAAATATCAATTTCAAATACATATCTACCAAGTTATATCATTGATATTCGAGCAATAATGATTTTTGTTAACTTTCATTCACTAATAATCAAGCTGAGTTTTGTCCCCAGGAATTCAAAGGAATGGAAACATGGATATGACTGCAATCCTCCAGAATGATGAAAGTGAAGAAGTCCAATACATACTCAATGATGCTGAATTTGTGTTAGAGCCATCCGATGTAAAAACTGAAGGCACCAATGATGTAAAGTCCAAAGTTCAAAACAGTATGTTCTGCTTTGATAATTTTTATCTGGAAATATTTCTTTCCAGGTTGTTTATACTGATGGAAGCCAAACTTACTTAATAAATAGCAATATTATAAGAAGTGATGAACAAACACTTGTACTCCAAGAAGGAGACAATATTGGCCAACTATTAGTCAACAATGAAATTGGTTTGTTCTTTATTAATTATTTTGTCAACAAATCTTCATACTTCCTCTTTTATGTTGTTTCAGGACAAATATTGGTAGTAGGTGATCAGCTTTCAACTGAAAACCACTTGATTAATGATTCCACATATGTGCAATATGTTGTTGAAGATGGCAATGATGTAGAACCTTCAGAAATCCTCTATGTTAGTGAGGACAGCACAACAAATGAACATGAGGATGAGGAATCTTCCCTCCAACAACTAGAATATGAGAACATTTGTTCTTTTGACGAATTACAACTAGCCCAAAGTCAAGTTATAGACCTAGAGGAATTATTCCAACAAGATGGGAACATCACAGATCAGCAAAATGGGTACCAGTATGCCATCTTGAAAAACGGGAAACTGCACATCCAGACTTGTGCAGCTGAACCGGCAGACACCTCATTGATAACTGGGAAAAACCTCATCACAGGTCAAACAGTCTCTTTGGAAAGCTACATCAACAAACACCAGTCTAGTGTAGTTCAATCTACAGTCAAAAGTGGTTCAAGAAGTCAAAGGGGAAAGCTCAATGGACTCTTGAATAGGACATTCAGATTGGGGGCAAGTGTTAATGGAAAGCAATTGGTGGGGAAGGTGGTCCAAGTGAAAACTAATGTGGAGAAAGGTGGGTGTTTGCAAGGAAATCATTCAGCTGCAGCTAAAGGTAAGTGAAGAATCACATGACATGAGAGAAAATGGCTTGAATTCACTGCATAAGTATGCAACACACATCACAACTTCATCATTTGATGGATATATCATAGTAGGAATACTGCAAATTTAATTTGACTTGTAAAGTTTGCTAGTGGTAGACTGACACTAGTCCTTTTCTTTAACCTCGGTGAAAAAATAGTCTTTCCACATACAATTTATTTGTTCCTTGAAGTTGATCACCTAGGTAATCACATAATTTTTTTCAATTTCCCCACTCAAACTTCTTTATTTAGTCAAAAGCAGTCAAATAAACTGAATTAGATAATGCCAGTCCATCAGAGGTTTGTTTTCATATTTTTGCTGAGAATAAATGGAAAATTTCGAATTATCTACTGCATTAAATTCTTTATTTATAGGTTACTGAATTAGTATCTATTAATTTTTTGTAATTTCAAGGGCACTAAGAACAAAATATTTTTCAACTAATGAGCATTGCATGAACCGCTAATTTTGCAAATCTAAAGAAAAAGTTCTCTACTAAATCTAAATTCTATCTTTATGGGTCTGAATTATAGGTACTGATTGCCTAGCTGCTAATTTTGAAAATCTAATGGAAGAATTATCTACTAAATCTGACATTGAATTCTTTCTTCATAGGTCTGAATTAGTGTCTATGAATTTATTGGGATGTTTATGGCAACCAAAAAAAATTTTTCCACCTGTGTATGAGCTATTACTACATTGCCTGAACCGATAATTTTGAAAATCTAAAGGAAGTGTTCTCTACAAGATCTGTTGTCAAATTCTTTCTTTATGGGTCTGAATTAGTGTCTATGAACTTTCTGGTATCTTTAGAACACATTACCACTAATTTTGAAAATCTAAATGGGAGGTTATTCCCTACTAAATCTGACTACAAATTCTTTCTTTATGGGTCTGAATTAGTGTCGGATTTTGAGGGCAATAAGGAAAAAATATTTTTCGACCTGTATAAGCCGATAATTTGGAAAATCTAAAGGAAGTGTTCTTTACAAGATCTGTTGTCAAATTCTTTCTTCATGGGTCTGAATTAGTGTCTATGAACTTTCTGGTATCTTTAGAACACATTACCACTAATTTTAATTTTGAAAATCTAAATGGAAGGTTCCCTACTAAATCTGACTACAAATTTTTTCTTTAGTGTCGGATTTTGAGGGCAATAATGAAAAAATATGTTTCGACCTGTATAAGCCTATACACTGCAGTCCGTGAATCGCTAATAATTTTGAAAATCTATATAAAAAGTTCTCTACTAAATCTAACATAAAATTATTTCTTTAGGTGTCTGAATTCGTCTACTTGACCTAAAGGATTTTTTGAGATTCTAAGGGCAACCAAGAAAAATAGTTATTTATTATACAAGGGAAAAAAGTAATAGATTTTAGCTCCAGGAGACAAAAAACCGTGAGCTAAAATCTGATATTTTTCCCGTGTATAATACACTATTTTTTCTATTTTTCTGTGACAGAAGAAAAGACGAATCAACATTGAGAAGATATTAAATTATTTTGAAATCTGAAAATTATCGACGTGAAATTTTAAGTTTTTAACAGTAGGGACACCTGCGTTGTAGGCATCTTTATCATTCTTTTGAAGTAATCAAATATCTGATCGCACTTCTGTCAGTCTAATTCTGTGATTTGATTTCAAAAAATTGCGAATTTAGTGGTTGTTTAGTAATATACCTAACCGCGAAGTCGAATGGAAGATAATAGGACTTGCAGTTCTTTCTTGGAGACGGTATTATTGACTCATTTTTCGGAACTATAGCACAACAAAAGCCATCAACAGTGTATATATATCCGGGAAAAAAGTACTCACTTTTTTCCCTCGGGAAAAAAGTAATTTATGAAAAATGACATTTTATAAACTGCCAACAGAGATGAAATGCCAAACTTTTTTCCCGTCACAGAAAAAAATATTTTTCGACCTGTATGAGCCTACTGCATCCCGTGAACCGCTAATTTTGAAAATCTAAAGGAAGCGTTTTTTTCAAATCTGTTGTCGAATTCTTTTTTATGGGTCTGAATTATTATAGTATAATATCTATGAATTTTTTGGGACTTTTAGGGCAATGACAAAAAACACATTTTCCGACTTGTATTACTACTATTACTGCATTATTGCGTGAACCGCTGATTTGTTGAATCTAAAGGAAGTGTTCTTTACAAAATCTGTCGTCTTTATGGGTCTGAATTTGTGTCTATGAATTTCATGGGATTTTAGGGCTCTCAGAAAAAAAATATTTTGTGGCCTGTCTACATTACCTGAACCGCTAATATTGAAAATCTTTAGAGTGCTTTTTACTAAATCTGACTTCGAATTCTGTATTCATGGGCCTGAATTAGTATCTATGAACTTGTAGAAAAAAAAATTATTTCGACCAGTATGAGCGTACTACATTGCCTATTTCGCTAATTTTGAAAATCTAAAGAGTACTCTCTACTGAATCTGACATCAAATTCTTTCTTTATCGGGGTCTGAATTAGTGTCTATGAATTTTTTGGGATTTTTAGGGCACTCTCTACCTGTGGGAGCCTACCATTATCTCTGATAATCTATTTGTAGACATGAAACATTGTAATTGTTAGGACCATGAAAAATTCTGCTCATTTTTAATAATATCGATTGAGCCCATAGAGAGAAACATAAAGAGAAACTTTGATTCTCTCATTTTTTTAACCAAGCAGGTGGTTCCAAATCAAAAGCCCACTCTATCACCTCCTTCCAACAATTAACAGACAGTCTAAAATCAGCTGTCAATCAAAATTCGGAAATCTTTCATTTACTGAGTCGTACGTTGACCGATCTCATGGATGTGGAAGACATCAAGGCGAAGTTACTGGGAAAAAAGCTATTCGTGATGATGGACAGGAAATCTCAAGCCAACAAAAAAACGTTAAGCAAGAAGGTGTACTATAGCGGTGGCACTGTGCAACCGAACGACGTTCCAACAGAGGACGACCCGCAAAAGTGGAAATTCGTGGCAGATTTTCTCACGAGAGATTATTCGGTGGGTGGAGGAATGCGGGACTGCTTGAAGCGAATGTTCTTAAACGGCAAGTAGGTGATTTATTTTAAATGTGACACAAACCGGAAATATTTCCAAAGTTACAGGGGTGGCCCCATTCCCTGTGCCACCCAGTATTGTGACCAATTTTTCAGGTACCCGGACGTAGTAAAACTGACGTTGAAAGTGACCAACGAGAAAAACAACAAACGCCAAATCCGCGTCGTCATTGAACCGGAAACACATTGCTGCAGCAAATGCGCAGACGCTTTCTCGACAGTTGACGAATTGACGGATCACGTGGTCCGAGCGCACGGCGCCAGCGGCAATTTAGGGAACTCGGGACCGCTCGGCGAGCACACGAAGCGACGGCAAGCCGCCATAGGTCGAGGCGATCGTGTGTTTCCGTGCGATTTCGTTGGTTGTGGGCAGTGTTTCGATACGGATAATCTCAGGTTGAGACACTTTCAGACTCACCACGCAGCAGAGGCTAACAGGCGAGTTGAACGATTTTTTAAATATGTTATTGATGATTGATGTGTTCGCATATGTCAAAATTTGACATTTTAGTGATCACAACGGAAAAGCTATATTCCGAATTCAACTGACAGTACTGAATCTTCTAATTTTTCATTCGGAAATCAAAAAAATTCACTGAAAGTGACAACATTCTGCTGGTAATGCTGCGTATTAGAAAGTAGTGTGTCAGTATTTGTAGAGGGGGAAGGGATAATGTCACAGTTATTTCCGGTATTTCCGTCTTATTAATGTCTTATTAATAAATTCCTAATATCATATTTGATATCAGAGAAAATGGCGAGGAAAATGTCTGTTATTTGAATAATTTGACGCTGAGAATAATAATCCAATTTCACCAGCTGATCAACTGTTGCTGATTACTGATGAAAACCATGAAGACGTGTTCGGAATTAACAGCACTGAATTTATGATTTGATATTTCGGAACACAGATTTTCAGCAGAGTCAGTGGATTTACTGACATTGCTGACCAGTTGAATTTGGAATATAGCCATAGTCCAAGAAATAATACAAATGTAAAAACATTGAATTTTATCGAACGCCAAACAGCACCTGTGCCGATCATTATCCTAAATTATCGAAAAATGGCACTCTGCTGTGCGATAATTTGCACTCGATTTCGCGATTTGATAAGGAGATAAAAATTATGCCATCAAATACCAGGTGGATCGCAAAAAACCTAACTGTGCTACCTCTTAATCTGAGTTGAATCCATGGCACAGCGATTTGTTTGCTGCCATTATTCCGGACAAACTTTCGTCATGTGATAACGAGTTGAAAGAAAAAACAAATAAAAGGGCCGGATATGTCCCCTTTGCGAAAATCCAAACGTGCCGCGATTTGGACTGATCTAAGTTAGTGGCAAAGCGTCAATACTTCCATTGTCGATCTAAATGAAAACCTAGTAGGCGACCTAGTACGCGAGGAGGTACAATAGCTCTTGCCTACTAACTACCTAACTAGGTTTCCATTTAGATCGACAATGATACTTCCGAGAATATGTCAACCCTCACGAAAGATAATATCCGATGGACCAGTGGAAAATTCAACACGTGGATTTGAATACTTATTGTAGTAGTACCACATTTCAAGTTGATGGTTAGTGTTAATATCAAGTATTGTTTAAGTTTCTTAATAAATATACAGAGTGGGCCTTTGAAAACGAAACAGAGGCTCTGTAGGTCGCCAAAACCGGATTATCAAAAGAAACTGAAACAGGTCAACTACATTTTCGAGGAGGACATCTTTCTGAAATATTTTCAGCCCTGCGGCGTTGCCGCTTCTAAAGAAAAGAAGCAACAACTCTGTTATTTCAAATGGAACACCTTGTATTTTATTGCATTCTTAGATTCTCTCCGAAGAGCTGAATTCATCAATGCATCACACTTGGGGTCTAGCTGTAATGGTTTCAGGGATATAAAGTGTTCAAAATCGAGATTTCTCAACTTTAAATTTTTTTTGTGTCGAAACTATTCATTATTGGTCAAAACGGCTCTCATGTCCCTATCTCAACTTGTGATTTACTATCTACTGACATTTATTTGAAACAAATACAGGGTGGTTCAAGATTCAGAATTCTGATCACCCTGTATCTGTTCCAATTAATTGTTAGTAGATAGTGAATCACAAGTTGAGATAGGGACATGGGAGTCGCTTTGACCAATAATGATTAGTTTCGACACAAAAAAATGTTAAAGTTGAAAAATCTCGATTTTGAACACTTTATATCCCTGAAACCATTACAGCTAGACCCCAAGTGTGATGCATTGATGAAATCAGATTTTCGGGGAGAATCTAAAAATGCAATAAAATACAAGGTGTTCCATTTGAAATAACAAAGTTGTTGCTTCTTTTCGTTAGCAGCGGCAACGCCGCAGGGCTGTAAATATTGTAGGACGATGTCCCCCTCGAAAATGTAGATGACGTGTTTCAGATTCTTTTCATAATCCGGTTTTGGCGACCTACAGAGCCTCTGTTTCGTTTTCAAAGGCCCACTCTGTATTTATTTTTCATTGTAGTGTCAAGCTTGAGGAAAAATCCCATAATCTGATTGATTTCACGAACCAGATATTAAATCAATTCCTAAAATCTCTGATACTTCATTGATCATCAATAATTATATTCAACTTGAGAAGTAGGGAAATCAATCAGAGAGGAACAGTCGTACTTGTCCAGCCCAACGATGAGGTCGTGGATTGACACCTTTCTACCCTGGTGAGTAACCCTTGTGTCAGATGGTATTTCTTTCATATTTTGTTCATACTTTGTGGTCATTTTAGTATCTCCCCTTTGGTTCATTTAATTCAAATAAACTGTTTTACATTTTATGAAATTGCCTCGTTATTTCCAAGTCATGAATGCATAAAACTACCCCTAAAGCTACGCCCTAGACCGAGCACTAGTCTCAGGTGTGACAGTATGACCTGTTGAATTAGCTAGTATTTTACGGTGATGTTATGATTCTTTTCGAATTTTTATTATAGAAGAAAACTTATTCGATGAAAGTTTGATTGATTGGTTTTACACTTGTCCATCGGATATTAACTTTAAACAGGAGCGAAATATTCTTGGAAATATTCACTAACTTACATCAATGCGGCACGTTTGGATTTTTGAAAAGGGGACATTAGCTTTTTATTCGTATTCATTATCAGATGACGGAAAATTTGCAACCGGCTCGCCTACCATTCCATCACTGCAACTTACAACTTGCAATAATCGTATTTAGGTCTACCTGGTGATTGAAACATAGTTACCAAAATACGTATTTATAGGCTTTTCTAAGCATTATTTTAATATTCTGGGTATATTTTATGTTTTCCATACAGGATTCAATACTTATACACAGGTAAAAGAATCTGAATTTCAGCTCACCGGACGATCCGCTGACCATTTCGAATTATCAGTGTGCTATTTGTCCCAAAGCCTTTTCTAGCGTCTGGAATTTGAATGCCCACAAAAAAAGTCACGGGCCTAATAAAGTATTCGGGTGCGATCTATGCAAGAGGACTTTCACTAGGTGCTCCAATTTACAGAGGCATCTGGCCGTACACCATCAAGGATCAGGAGAAATGCATCAGTAAATATACCCCTTTTATTCGATTATGAAATTTTGAGGATTTCTAATTTTGTGTGATTGATTCTTGATGTTGTTTTAGGTGTAAAATTTGCGGATGCTCTTACCACTATGTCTCGTCTCTTACCAGGCATGTGGTCCAAAATCACTTACAAAGGCAAGAAATGAATGTGGATATGAAGGGTACATAATCATAGCTCACAATGAAAGTGATTTATCATGATTTATGATATGAAGGAGTACTATACCTACCAAAGAGATTGTTATTTGATATCTATAATTATTATTGGATTGGATTAATGAAAAATACAAATGTGTTTTTTAGTGTTTGTTGATATGAAGAATATGATTTTCAATCCCCTAATGCCCTCAATACCACAAGTAACCTCATTAACAATGCATAGACTCGTTATTTACATAAATAAAACATGAGAAGTGTTACAAAAATCAATTTAGTTCCCTAACAACACAGTGGAGTAACTGAATGCTGATAATTCATTATCACTCCACCCGCCCATTATCTCTAACCGATTATGGAATAAAATACAGGGTGTTATATTTGAAAATAGCAAGTTGATGTCATTTCCAGTAAAACCCTAAGATTAAAAAAATTTCCTAAATGTGAGAAAGTGCCCTCTAGTGAGCATATTCCAAAGGTTAAACCGCTGTCAAAATTGTGTACACCAAACTTCAATTTCACAAGGAATTCTAGTTGTTTGTTCACCAGAATTATACAACTCACACTACACACAAGGAATTCCAAGGAATTCCAGGGAATTTCAAGGAAATCCAAGGTATTACATGGAAATCCAAGGAAATCAAAGGAAATCCAAGAAAATTAAAGGAATTCCAATGAATTCCAGTTGTTTGTAGACCAGGAATATACCACAGGGAATTCCTAAGAATTCTAGTTGTTTGTACACCAGAATTCCAAGGTGGTTTACCCCTCTGCATATTGGATGTTCCAAATTTCACAAATATAGCTAGAAAAACAAAGGAGAAATGAGGGGTATACCATGAGTCAGTGTCACCTGGTATATCTCCTTTCTGAAAATATTTTCATCAGATATATAACTCACTATTTTGAAATGAAATTTTTCCTCATTTTGTGGAATATTGTAAAAAACAATCACCATGTATGTACTTCATAAAGACAAAATTTCTGATTTCATAATATTCAATCTTTCAACAAGGATTTTTGATATGCACCATAATTTTTAATCATCTACTTACAGGGTGATTCAAAAGTAAGCTTCATTAAAATAAGGCAAAGCAAAGCTCCTTTGAATAGGACCTTTTACCTCCATAACTTTAAAACCCTTTACAATTAAATCTTGAAAATTGGTATTTGGTACAAAAATTTGATGGCAAATAAGATTCTGAATTCAGCCTGTATATTAACCAAAGAGCAGTGTACCCATGTGTAGAAGTATACCTATAGTGCACTAGTTGCAATTTTTATTTTTGAAACAGGTCTAAATCACATTAAATTATACATACATTTCATAGACTATATTGAAAATCACTTTCTTCCCGGAATCCAAGGTTCAATTTTGGGCCTGGTTGTTGAATAGGGCATGTACTGTCCAGGGGTACCACTCAAATTCTCAGTATGGTCCAACATCCATTTATATTTTGGCCTTGATGGGTCTTGGTCAGGGGTTAAATCAGTTTTGTAGTGCAACCAGCCATACCACTCTGCTGGTACTTGGCTACCATCATATTCCATACCTGGAAAGATTTTTTTAGTGGGTTCTATGGACTATTATGAATCACCCACCATAGTAAGGTGCATATTCTATCCACCTGTTTCTTCCATAAAAATAGCTAGGATTCTGATAGTACTTGTTGCCGTACTTATCAGTTCCTACTAGTTGTCCAGGTCTCAAATTGTCCATTCTGAAATGGAAAAGAAGATAAAAATGGGGCACATTATATAATAGGGAACTGAGGGCCAGTACCTGTATAGTTTATAGAGAGAGGCCCTAATTCCACCTGCCTCTTTTATCGTATTCAAAAAGGTGAAAATTCTGTCCAAGCCGAAATATCGAGCCATTTTTTCAAAATTTGATCACTTTTCTGCTTCAGTTTTCCATAAAAGTCAACCCTAACCACAAATAAAATAACAAATACTTTGACACAGAACTACAAGTTTCTGAATTCACAGATCACAAGACTCACTGTCACAAAAGTACTTCTTCTCAACTTTTCCATTATTGAATTGGCCTTAGCGACCAGAGCCACTAGTAGAGCGAGCCGATATTCTAACAGTGGCGGACGACTCTAATTGAATAGGGGTCATTTAAAAAATAAATGTACCTACACTACATATAATGTTAAAGAAGCGTATCACACTTTATTTTTACAGTAATATATGTATAATTCACATGATATAAAAAATCTTGCTTAAAACTATGCTGAAATATTTACATTATGATTCTTTGGATTGTTAAATGTATTATATTATCTTCTTCAAACTGTTATCGAATTAATTTTCAATTATAGGTTTTTTCACAGACAAAATGTTATATTGACCGCAACGCTATACGATTGTTGACATGGCGTTAAAAGCGAATTGGATAAACAAATGAAATATGAAACTTTATTCCTCAACCACCTACTCTCTTATAGAGCTACACACACTATAATACCTACCATACGCTAATTAAGCGGTACATATTGTTATGCGAAAACATCATTTTGCTAATTGTTTAACATTGGATCATTGGATTCCATTATATACAATATACATCTTTCAATAATTTATGTATTTTTTTTCACGAATATTAAAAATTGTTCACCACTTTGTAAAGCGTGTGAGTTCTCATCGAAGCATTGCATATATTTATTTCAAACTATTCAAATTAGCCCAACTCAGACAAAACAGAATCAAGATCTTCCTGTAAAGCTAATGTCATATCTTTTTGTTTATTGAGTTCGTCCTGTAGTCGCTCAGCATTCGTTTTCAACAAGAAATTACCCTTTTTCAGAGCATTCAGTATATTTTCGTGCCTTTTGGCCCTAGTGGACAAATTCGTTTTCTTCTTCTCGATAGGGGCATCTTCATCTTCACTCTGGCTCTTCTCAGAATCGCTTTCGTCCGTTTCACTTTCTGATTCTTCTTCTGTAGATTCTTCTTCCTCCTCGGATTCTTCCTCTTCCACTTCTTTTTCCTCCTCTTCCTCTTCTTCTGACTCCTCGTCGGCGTCCTTCATCAGATTCGCCATCTTGTCAACCTGTTGAACATATATTATCTCACCTTGGACATTTATATAGAAACCTATAAGACTCGCCTCTTTCTTCAGTTGTTTGAACTTCTTTTTCTCCTCTTTGATTGCTGCCTGATGCTTCTTGATGATGTCTCTGAGCGCCATTCTCTCTTTTTTCGCATTGTCTTCTTTAGTTTTGAAGCTTTGCAGCTTCTTCACCAGAAGCTTCAGTTCTTTCTGTGCCCTTTTTTCTCTCTTCTCTTCTGTGTCTTCTCCATCGCTCTCAGGCTCCGGTTCGTCATCGAAATCTTCATCGCTCCCATTACCTTGGGCGTTATGTTTACCATCTGATATGGAAACCCTTTTACCTAGTGAATCAAAATGAAATTCATTTTACCAATTTCTTCCAATTATCTAATAATCATATGGGTGATCGGACAAACATCACAGGGTCCAGATTTTTATACATCTTCAAATAAGAAATGGAGACTCGCAAAATGAAGAAAAAATGATGTTTGAAAATCTGGACCACCCTGTCTGGGAAATTTATTGTATCAAACAATACGAATCAGGACCACCAGAGGTTAGACACTGAGAACTGCTTCATGAGTTCATGGAACACAAATAGCACAGGACATCGAATTATTTCAATGGGATATTACATACATGTGATATGGACATGATTTGGACCGGACAGTTTAACCGACATTTTACTCAAATTACTCGCCTTTGTAACCTGTTGTTATTTCACAGGTTATGTTTTCGTCATCATCATCGTCACTATCTTCGTCAAACCAATAACTTTGTGATACAACCGATGCTCTTTGTCCTGAGGTTATAAAAATTGTGTTTGCAATCCTAATCTTCATAGAGTCAAAGTTTCTGATGTTATATATAAATTGAATGTATTTTTTCGTCAGAAAGGTACTAACCAAGAGAAGCTTCTTGTAGTTTTTTTTCCAGCATCTGATTTTGCCTTCTAAGGTCTTCCATCTGAGCTTTTGTCGAGTCTAGTTCTTCTGCAGCTTGAGTATATTTCTTTTCCAGTTCTTGAGACGTTTTTCTAGCTTCATTAGCTTCTTTTCTAAGCGACTCCGTCACCTTAAAATGAAGAAGAAGAGTTGAAGAGCCACGTGTTAAGTCAAGTCGTTGTTTTTACCTTATCGTCAGCAGCGTTGTTTGAGTTTGGCGATCCGCCTTCTTTCACTTTACTTCTTTCTTTTTCCAGTTCGGCTTCTAGATTCTGTATTCTGGCAAGCAGTCTTTTGTTTTCCCTTTCTTGTGCCTCCTTGTTTCTCATTTCGAGTGCCAACATCTGCTTAGTACTCTGTAGATCGTCTCTGACCTTGTCTATGTCGTCCATTTCGTCGATTTCTTCTGCTGCTTCTTCCTGTTGAATCAAGTTCTACTTAACTTGGTGTACCCAACTCATCATTAACCTAGGCAGATCAAGAAAGAGCTTACCGGTGCTATACTGGCCATGGAAATCGACTTCTGGATTTGCTCCTCGATGGTCATTTGTCTCCTGAATTTTCTCAATCCGTCGAGCATCGGCTTGCTTCTGTCGTTCGTCTTCACTTTCTTCAGTTTGATGCCACCTTCAATCTGAACAGAATATTAATTCACTAGTGTCCGCAACTTAGCCACGCCGTAAACTGTCTAAGTGCTCGCGTTCAGTGTTCTTACCTGTTTGAGCAGAACATTGTGGACATTCGGTTCTTCGCTTTTGTACAAAAAGTGTTCGTCTGGAGCTTTGGCCTCTGGCAAAAGTGGTTGTGATCTGTCGTTGCAAACCACGTGTTTCAATTGCTTTTTCGATTCGATTTCTTGGAGCAAGTTGCTCCAATCTGGTCTGTTCTTCGGTCTAGACCTAAAAATTAATGCATGTGAGGACCCAGCGACTGGGAACTTAGACAGGATAGAAAAGTGTCAGTGACCAGTGTCAGCCATTTGTAAAATTCACTGAACTCTAAAGTGGTAAAATTAATAACTATCTATCTAACTATATGATATCACTTACTTGAGTTTGTCGAGTCTCGATTTCTGTTTGTTGGTTAGTGGTTTCTTTGGTTGTCCACCCGGCATCATTGGTGGAGGTGGAGGCATACCTGGTTGTGGAGGCGGTGGAGGTGGTATGTTCGATTGAGAAAGCCTCCTCATTGAGGCCTCTCTGACGATGGCGTTCCTCTTTGTTGGAACCTCCTGTACAAGAATACAAACGTGATGGCGGCTCAAAAATCATTCTTTATAGTTAGACCATTGTCGTTCTAGATGACAACCTAGTTAGGTAGTTAGTACTGTTAGTAGGCAAGAGCTATTGTACCTCCTCGCGTACTAGGTCGCCTACTAGGTTTTCATTTAGATCGACAATGGTTGGACTGCATGAAATTCGAAGAAGCTATCTCAACTTTTTCATTTTGAGTAATATGCGATACCTTACTACACTATTATTACTACTTTTTACTAGAGTTGTAGTCTAGATAGGTATTTAAACATTTAACACACACTGTTATAACACCTCAAATCAGTCAATTCAGTTTGAATTTCATTGCCAGACTATCCTGAGTAGCATTTCTCTGTCAAGTATTGTTTAAATATAGAAGATTGTCTGGTACTGGTATAAAAATGTTCCCGATTGATTAAGATGTCAGTATGGAAGTGCAAAGCTATTTACGAATGAACTTGAAATTTAATATACAAGATGATATCAAAATAAGTTCATTGAACACATCATTTATGATACGGTCTAACGACTTTTATACTGTCATAAATCATAAAATATTAGAGCTCGTGATATAATTTTGAATTTTTTTCATTTATACTAGCTAGGACGACGAAAAAAATAAAATATAACTTCAAATCACACACTTCCTGCGCCATTTGAAATAGTGACAATTCATTGGTGTGACTATTTCGTCCATGAGTTGACCAATCATACAGCAACACTGCAGAATGGTATAGCTACAGTTCGGGACTAATACGTCACGACTACACCTTCATATTTGGATTCTTGAATAATCGAATGGAATATATGCTGATTTTGAAACGCTATTGATTCGATTCCCTAAACATCAATTCATAATTTTTATTGTACATTGAATGTAAATCATGATTCATCGATTGATAGAGGTTTGGACGGATTTCATCCCTTTGGTCATCACCATTGAATTGATTGAAATCTGCACATAAATTTATACGGATGACGTCACATTAACACAACACTACACAAAATTTGTTTGACTCCCTATTAAATTTATTTAATGCCTTTTGATAGTATACCTAGAGGTTCTTTAAAGTGTTAATGATATGTATAGCATTTCAATGTCACCCTTATCCATGACTCAAAGTCGAACCGTTATAGTTACGACATTGAGTACTTAGCCACGGTTATAATAACGGAAATCTTCATCGGCGTCTCGGAGCAGGAATGTAGAGGGTTGTTGGCTTCATTCTTTCAGGATGTAGTAGTTTTATTTATATTTAGGCATTGGAATGCCTCAAATGGAGCTCGATTCTGAACAAAAATATCATGGAATCAACGAATAATGAATCACTATCGTCCACATTTACGGCCATCGGTCAGAAAATAATGAAGCCGACACCGATTGCTTCTTCCTGGTCCGAGACGCTCGTAAATCCCCTCACCTTATCTATTTCTACATCGTCCTCGTCTTCTTCTTCTGTATCGTAGTCGTCTGATTCTTCTTCTCCTGTCAAAGTGTCATCTCGGGCGTATGAAGATTTCCTCGGAGGACTTTTCAGCACTCTTTCCGATACTTTTTGCAGCGTCGGCAGGTTGTGTATCTTGTGGTCCTTCTTCGGGGGGGTTTTCTCCCGTATGGGGACCGGTTTGAGGGCCGGCTTCTGGAAGAAACTTTCCTTCGCCCCGTTTTCCTGCGGTTCTTTCGTCTGTATGCTTGTTTTTCTCAGTTGCACCCCAGCTGTTCAGTTCCCGGAAAATGGGAGGAAAGTTATTGGTAACGGGGATTTTGCACTTACCATGCGATCTGTATTTTTCAATTTCATTTTGAACTCTTCTGACAAATAATTAGCGACTGTATTCGAAATTAATTTTTTTCTTCGATTACGTCTTGGTTGAAACTCTGAAAATTTGATAGGTAGGCCCATTTGGGGTTTCTATACAGAGAGTTTTAGCTTTTAATCTGGAAAGTTTGACAGGCAATATTAGCAAAAGTAAAGGGGAAAGTTCACAAACTTATGTTTTCGAACTGTTAGCTTTCGATACAGGGTGTTGAAATTGAAAGTATAATTTACCTTTTCTCCATTAACACCCTATATGTACAGGGTGTTTCCGAAATCGGGGCAATACATGCAATGAATTTTAAAAGACGAAAAAACAGAACGAATGAAATAGTACATTTTTGTCAAACAAATTTTTTCGGGAAGATATTGAGCTTCAAAGTTTTCCTGAAACTAAATCATTGATCAGAGATAATAGTCCAACCTAAGCGTTTGATTTCGGCGAGATCACAATGCACCGGAAATATCAATGACTTTTGCAATGTTGCTAGACAACCTTCAATAATACTTAGTTAAAAGATGTAGCTTGGTGTGGGAGTGGGAACGCTCATTTTTTTCTCGTGGTTTATTATGTCATTATGTCATATGTCATAGAACACGTACCTTCATTTATTGCCCCAATTTAGGAAATACCCTGTATGAGTTTTGATGATGCCTAAATTTAGTGTGGTCGTCGACTGACAAAAATTTTCAAAATCTTCAAATATACATTTTATGGCAATCAAGTGAACACAATGGATGTCTTGAACAAACCTATACATATAAAGTTAGATTCATATATCATCAGGTATTCATTTTTTTTTTTGAAAACTAAGCACGATACGAAAAAACTAATGGAAAAAAGTTCTATCTTCTAAGTATCGTTGAATCGAATAAAATTATAAGATTAAAGAAAAAAAAATCATTGGAGTACCTACTTACAATTTATTTTCTCTATTTTTTCGAGTTCTATCCTCCATTAAATTTTCTCGATTACAATCTGAAACACTCTGTATATATTTATCGATGGGCTCCATCAGTCCATCAGGAACAGAAGAAGAACAGTGAATTCAACCAACAACGCTTATTCACAGGAGTTAAAACTTGTGATTTGATGAGGAATGATTTATAGAACTGAAAATAGGATCCAACTTTTTCATGGAAAATCTAGATATGCACTGTTTTTATCTTAAGATTCGTGTTTCCTAGACCACAAAACTCATTCCCCGAGTTTTGAAATCTCTTTTTATTTCGCTTTGAAAATACAGATCGCATCAGTTTGAATCTTGGCAATAAGTCTCCTATAGAAGATCAGTTTTTTTCTAGATGATAGAGGTGACTTTTTTACGAAATGCAAGTGAATCTCTCACACAATTTTACCTAGGATCTTATTTTTTTTCTCCTTGTCTCCATTTTCTTGGGATGGTGCTTTTTTTAGCGTTTTTCTCAGTTGCACTTCCGCTGAAAATCAGTATTTTTTGTGAGTTGTGTGTATGAAATGTTCAGTTTGATCATGATATTCGTGTTTGTGAGTCGACTATATGTTGCATTAAAGTGTACAGAGTGTTAGGTATAAATATGTGACGCGCAGAAAAAAAAGATGCATCAGAGTAACTTTCGTATTATTTGTTTCTCGGGAAATAGCAAAAAGATGGCATTTCTGCCTACAATATACGAGGCGGAAATTAAAATAACTTCTATAGAGAGCACATTTTTCACGAAAAGCGTATAAAAGTGACACGTTTTTTGTTGTATTAACAGTCGATATAAATTCCAACTTATATTTCAAATTTTCGAGTTTTTCCTCGAAATTTAGGCTTCATTCTGGCGTTCTTCTCAAAATTTATTGGGACTAACAACATTGAAAAAATTACTCTAATTACCACGACTAATAAAATCGCAAGTGTTTCCTTCCTAAACGAACGTTGAACGCCTTGTGGAACATAAATGCTGAGATTCTTTTACGTTGGATCAGGTTCGCACCATATAGCGGTCAAGAATGCCATCTGGGACAGCCTTGCACTGATGTTAGCCAGCATCTCGAAACCGGTCTGCACGTTTCACGCGTTCCTGAACCACTTAGGCGCAGCTGGGCCTTTAGGAAGGAAGCAATTGCGATTTTATTCGTCTATAAGAATCATTGCATAGATTTCGGGAGGATGTAATCCAATATCCTGCGTGGCATATAGCCAAGAAAATAGTTGTTTTTCTCTCGTTATCTATCATTTACGTTAATTTTATGAACTATTGTGGTAATGAATTTCAGTTTCTCTTCTTTGTGACTGTTATAATAATATAATTTCATGAAATTTGACATGCACATACTAAGGCACCAATAGGTATTTCTTGACGCAGTAGATTTCTTGAATATTTCTACCAGTGGCGTCCGTATGGAATGCATACCAGCAATGTTTCTAAAAAATATGGTACGCCCTTGCTTTTTCGAAAATTAAAAAGCATCTTTGAAATTCTCATGCATTTTGCAACAATTAGATTCTTTGAATTTTTTCCGTCCGACCGTTTTTCCGTAAAAAAATAAAAACTATTCTGGCTAATTCAATCAATTAGCTTTACTTATATATATGGATATATTTAGGACAGTATGAAGATATGATAAGAAAACAATATTTTTTTCTAAAAACACCCTATAGCTCGAAAGTTAAGAAGTTTTTAGGGCATATGTTCATATGAGTTTGTCTTCTTAAAATGAGCTTAAGAACCATATTCATATATTTTTAGCGAACAATTGAATTACACCCTGTGTACACTGCAGGAGATTAAGCGCTTATCGCATTCAATCAATACTTGAATCAATATCTCGAAATTTTGATAAAAAAATAGAAATCTTGAAATTTCTCGGAAAAAGTCGAAATTTCGAGTTGAAAGTGGACATTCCGACATAAAAGTCGGAATATTTATCGACTGAGAAAACAAAAACCCTATAGCACATCTACGCTTCCTTCAATTTGGAAATCATTCGAATCTCTGTTAGACATGCCTCCTTTGAATAATTCCAATTATAACATTTTTTCTCTCACCTAGAGGGTTGTAATCTGAACCGGAGTCAGACAAGTTGCTGTCCCGCCTGCTGTTGAGTTTATTCGTGCCCCAAGGGGCTGTAGGGGCGGTAGGGGGGTTGGGCCCCTCTTTGACCCAGGGCGGTCTGAAGGTCGTTCTTTGGGCGGCATTGGATGAGGTGGCATCTCCCTCTTTACCGGCAGGCATTTCGGGACACCTGAAAAGCTGCTGTAACTGTGATTTATTCGTCGGATATTCATAGGGTTGAGCAATTTTCGATGTCCTCACGGGATTTCTTGCTTTAAAGATAGTTATTTACTGTTTTCTCGACACTTGTCTACTTTTTTGTGGAAGTCACGATGGGACCACCCTGTATCTCAGCAATCTTTCAACTTATAGAAAAATGAAAAGACTCTACTAAATAATACTCGAAATCAAATCAATTGGTATACATGTTTCGAAAATATACAGGCTGATTCACGGTGGATAGCACATTAGACGTTTCTAGAGAACGCAACTCGGGATTATTCTGAAAAGTTGGGGCTTTGAATAATTAGTTGTGTTCTATCGACCTAAAATATTCTCAGCGTTGCGACGTTGCCGCTTATATTGAAAAGTAGCAACAACTTTGATTTTTTAAATGGGACACCCTGTATATTATTCAATTTTCAGATTTTTTCTGAAGAGATGATTTCATTGACATATAACACTTGGGGTCTAGCAGTAATAATTACAGAGTTATAGGATGTGGAAAATGGTATGGATTGAATGTTGTATTGTCATTGAACTAGAAAAAATGTAGCCGAAGTGTTGAGATTGTCTGATATGCGAAAGTGGGTCAAATTTGGCTCACAAAATTATTTGTCGCTGCCGTAAAGTCGAATAAACAATATTGGAAATCCATAAATTCGATAGAAAATGTGGATTTATGTGGTACATAATATTTTATTTTATTTCTCAGAGAACATGTGTTATCGACTTTCAACTCATACAATTACATGATTTATTCGATTTATCTGTTTATTTTATATGCAAAGTGAAAGAATTGCCAAAATTTATATTGCATTACCAAGAAATGCGACATTTTACCGAAAATAAAATCGCGAGTAGGTGTCTTAGAAAACCGTTTTCTCGCTACACAATATTAACATGGGAATTGAAAATTATGCGTATTAGAACTCTGTTGACACATTTTCCCACAAAATCTAAAAGATTCACCATCATATTGCTTCTATCGTAGGCGTATTATTCAACAACAACAATTTGTATTTTTACTAGATCTCTTATACTTTCAATTTCGTCACTCAAAATATAGTCGTATTTTACATATTTATTCCATGAAGTAAATATTATGACAGACAGACAGCCAGCCAGTCATCAGGCTTTTTTTGAAACTCAAGATGGCCTAATCAGATTTAGTATAACTGTTTCTGTTTGTGAAATACAGAGCGATTATGAAAATTCATACTTTTTGGAGATTAAAATCTGGTTTTGGCGATACGATGTATTTAATTTGCTCATTTAATTCCTTTTTTTTCTTCCTTCAAAATGATATGTAATGTATGAATATAAAATTTTCAAATATGCTCCAGAAACACTAAAACATTGAATTTCTATAGTGAGCTATGGGTTTATCATATAAAAAAAGTTCCAATTGAAGGAATATTCCTTTTGACTTTTCCATGAAGAGAACAAAATCAATACCAATACTGATTATTTAACAAAACACAAAACTTAGGTGCTTGATAGCAAGAAATAAATAGAGATAAGAAGTTCATAATGTAGAATAAGCACCTTGATCAAATATTTAATAAAACAATTGACTTTCGAAATTATTCAGTAAGGTATTCAATGAATTGTTCAAATTGATGTCTATTTTCCCTCACTCACTTCCTCAATACGTCCTAATGCATTCAAAATCATTAAAGGATATCTTTGTAATTCCTAGAAAACTGCCTCTGTTGTTGCAAGAAGTTCTTCAAGATTGTTGTGCCTTTGAATTACTGTTACGTATTGAGAAAGTGTGTCAATTGTGTGATTTGTGTGTTAGGGAAAATGGACATCAATTTGAACAATTCAATGAATAAGTTACTGAATAATTTCGAAATTCAATGATTTTGGTCAATATTTAATCAGGTGCTTATTCTACATTATAAACTTTTTACTCACTATTTATTTGTTGCTATTAGGCAGGTACCTACATTTTGTGTGTTGTTATAGTTAATTGGTGTTGATATTGTTTTTGTCCTCTTCATGAAAAAATTCAAAGAAATATTCCTTCAATAATTGGAACTTTTTTATATGAAAAATCCATAGGCCCCTATTAAAATTCAATGTTTTAGTGATTTGAAAATTTTATATTCATAAATTATATGTATATCATTTTGAAGGAAAAAATGAGGAATTTAATGATTCCATTTGAAAAATCATAAGTTTGAGTCGTATCACCAAAACCATGTCACGAAAAAAAAATCGAGTGTGCCACTGGGTTCTGCGTAAAATTCTCTATGGGATAAGATTTTAATTTGACATTTGCGGTGAGACACTTCGTCTAAACAGTATAAATTTTCAAAATCGCTCTGTATCTCATAATCGGAAAGAGTTATGCAAAATCTAATTAGGCCATCTTGAGTTTCAGAAAAAGGTGACAGAGGACGCAAAAACTTCAATGTTCTATCTTCAACAACAACCGAGAGATCCCAACTATACCATCCAAACGCAACAAGTTATTCGGTATACAGTCAAATGTACCTATAATGTCCACAAAACCTTCGTTTTGTGGTTTTTAGGTCATATGTTTTTTTATGAGCCTCAAGTAATTTCTAATTGAAATAATTATTATTATTGTTTATTTCAGGCTATTTCTAGAATTTGTGTATTCAATCATTCACAAAATCTTGATATTTCGCAATTTGTCAATTCTATCAATTTCTTGATGATTCATTGTACGCCATTGCTGAATATCGTTGATTGAAAATTTGTCAAGCAATTGTAGTGGCATCAATATATTTCGCATTGTCGAATCAAATGATAATGTTTTCGAAAAAACCGTTCCTATATATATATATGTTTCTCATACCGGAGAACAGAAATTAATTAATAAAGTGTTAATATAACTCACCTTCTGAGTTCACAAATTTGGTTGATTTTGGACTTATCAATCACTTCTTATTTCCACAACTGTATATTTTTCACCAACTAGGCTACTACACGAATAAGTCGAAATATAATTAGTTGAAGTTGATTTTTTTTTCAATTTTTTCCACGCGTGTCTACTGACTTTGGATTCGCGATTTTTCAGCGATTTTCAGTGCGGCAGACATTTTCAGAATGGTGTATGCGAGTCCAAAATAGCTGAAACTATTTTTGGACACGCTGACGCTTATTTTATTCTACTTATGCGAGAATCCGAGGATGAATCGAAATATTTGGTTTCTGCCATTGCGTTTTATTGTTATTCCAGATTTTTTGGGCTTTTTCTCCTCGTTTCTATAAAATGAAAATAGGAATATTATTTCAATATACGTGTAGCAAGGACAAATCAGATGATTTGCCCCGAAATTTCACTGCGTTTAAAGAATTTTTCTATCAGAAAGCCTAAAAGAAAAATAAATTATTGATTGAACTTTTGATGTGTCAATAATAGATAAGAATTTGTATCGATAAAAATGGACAACCTAAAATTTTCAAAGTTCAATGTTTCAAAAATGGTTACGAATATATGGATGTTGAGATAAAATATGTTCGTATTCAAAAAGTATATGGGGTGTTCCATTTGAAAAATTCGAGTTGAATTGAAAAATCATTATCAGCCGCCCTGTGTAATTTGAAGGTATTGAAATTCTCCAGAAATATCACGCTCTTTTTATCAAATGATATTATGATTATTGTCTCTTGAATTTCATAATTGTGACGACAGTGATTTTTTCGGTTTATGCATCTGCAGATGACATTATTTCGACAAAAAAATCCATACTTTGATATAATCGACATATAGTCAACGATATAATAGGGGTGGATGAAGGTGACAGGAAAGGTTAAAAATATGTGCTAATATACAGAGCATTTCCATTAAAAAAAATATCTCGACCCTCTAGATATTTATTGGTACTATCTGTATATGCGGTATTGATTTCTAGTTATGGATCAAGTTGTCTCATTTACATTCGTTTTTTAATCAAGTTTCTAGCTATCATAGAACTCGAGCAATCGAGCTCCGACGCACTAATTCTTCACCCTTTACATAATATATCACAATTTGGCGTTATTTTTCTCAAAACCTAGGCGATATACAAATAATCTTACTCAGTAATATAGACAAGACACTTTAATTTTCAATAGGTAGTTGAATCTGATGAATATAATATACAGAGTGTTATTTAAGTATGTGGCCAAACTTCAATGGTCGATTTTTTAGTGATTCTAATACGAAAATTTTATATGATCATAGCTCCGAAAATGCATAATTTTAAAGATACACAGTGTGAAACTTTTTTGAAAAATGAGTTTTTGTAAATCTAGTATTGGCTTGAAATTACTCCTAACAATAACCATCAATAACACTGCAAAATTCCAACAAGATTTTTGGATCAGAGATAATTGCGATATTTGGGAAAAGCGATTTTTTTTTCAAATCTTTGACACCCTGTATCCTCAAAACGGTGTATTTTCGGACCCATGGTTACATGAACTTTTCGACTCTAGAAAAATCATCTCTTGAAGTTTGGCCACATACTTAAACAACGCCCTGTTTAAAAGATGGGTATAGAGATTACATTAAAATTACGACTAATATATCAAATCGGTGACCCTCTGCATCAACGCCACTGAATATAAGTCAAAATCTGATCACCCCAAAAAAAGCTAACATAGACAGCAGATTTTATCTCGCAAACAGGCAAGTTGGGACTTTTTTGTTTATATGAACTTTTCCTAATAGCGTGCGGTAAAGACCACTTTTTCGCACTCATTTTAGTGTTGAATGAGTCACTTTTCCACACTAGATAAATGTGGGTTTTGTCGCACACGTTAGTTGAAAAATAGTGTACCTAACACGTGCGGAAGAGGTGAATCTTTCGCACGCGATTGCGTGTGGAAAAGTATTACTTCCCGTGCTTGTTAGGTAAACTACCAATTCAAAATCAAATTTTATCACATTGAACACCTTGTATCATGGAAAAATATGAAAATGAATGAATATAGATTTCTAATATTCATTAAAAAGTGAAGGCATATATTGAAATCTGATCAATTGTGACACTGAAAAATTGTTGACTCAATCAAAATTCACTGTACAAGTTTGCATAGGTGATGGCGAATAAATATATTCTCATAACGTGTTTGTACATGATATCATTCTCGAAATCTAACTCATAAATCAATACACAACAGACGGGGCCCTCTTTCGTAACCGATTCTCAGCATCCACGTCATCACTGGGCTGGTCATCACTCGGCTTGTCGTCACTGGGCGGATCATCACTGGGCTTGTCGTCACTGGGCGTGTCGTTGCTAGGCGTGGCTTCGCTAACCGCCGCCTCTTTCGGCGCCGCCTCTGTCCTGAGCTCAGGTACAGTGTCGGGACTGCAGTTGTAGAAATTCGTCCAAGTTTTGATCTCGTCGTAGAGCTTATTGCCCGGACACGCCGTTCCGTATCTGACTTGTTTGTGACCCACCAGCCTGTAGTCCTGCGCTATCTTCCCCTCTCTCACGCCCATCTGGATCAACTGATGGACGGTGGCGAGTTGCTGCTCAGGAGGAAGATATTCTAGAATGGAAAAACAGCTAATGGGTGTATGTGTAGTTGTTAGGTCACGCCTATGCCACGCATAGTTCACGCTCACACATAAGCCACGCCTAAGCATAAGTCACGCCTAAGCAACGCCTCTATGCTACACCCACGCCACGCCCATAGGCACGACCATACCTAAGCCACGCCTACGCGTTCCGTCTCTATGCCACGCCTACACATAAGCCACATCCCTTTGCCATTCCTACGTCACGCTCTCAAATTTCATCAATTCCAACTACACTCAGCCGGCAAAAATAAACGGCCACCAAAAAATTTTGTCCTGTAACTTTTTTAATTCTTGTCCGATTTCGGTGAAATTTCGACCAAAGCTGATGGCTTGATCATTATACAAGGAAAAACAAAAGTTACTCTTTCACCCTTAGCTTCTTAACGTCCTGTGGCAAAGATGAGTGGGTAAACTGAGCTTCATTATGTTTTGAATTGAAGTGTGATCCCTTCTTAACACAATGGTTTTCGATTCTCGTCGATAACAACTTTTTAAGAAAAGATACGAGTGTTTTAAGAAAGTATGTTTTTTAAATTTTTATTAACAATAATTCAGAACCATTCTCCAACCTTCTGCATTATCATGTTTTAAATTGAAGTGTGATCCTTTTTCGTCCCTTCTCAACACAATGGTTCGAGATTCGAGTCAATATCTTCTTTTTAAGAGAAGATACAAGACTTCTGAGAAAGTATGGATTTTTTAAATTTTTATCAACAATAATCTAGAACTTATAGAGAGCATCTTGGGGATGAACTCCAGAGGCTCATTCGCCTTAGCTCGGCCATGTCAGAGACTCTTCAAGAGCTTCGATTCGCCCTTCAAGGAGATTTTCAGGCAATTCTTCGAGACTACTTTAGAAATTTGATCAACTCGATGCCACGGCGGTTGAATGCCTCGTTGAATGACTCTTTATTGACTATACATGTACAGTTCTGATTTTTATTTGTTTTTGTAATTAAGATTTTTTCTGTAAGTGCTAAGAAAATGAGGTAGATATTAATTCTCCAAGTTGTTAATCAATAAGTTTATGTAGGTTCTGATTATTGTTAAAACGATTATTAATTGAAATTTGAAAAATGCCATACTTTCTTAAAATACTTGTATCTCCTCTTAAAAATAAGATATTTACGTGATTCAAAAACTATTGTGTTGAGAAAGGATCACACTTCAATCCGAAGCATAATGAAACCAATTTCAACCACTAAATTTTGCCACAGGGCATTAAGAAATAAGGGGTGAAATAGTGACTTTGGTTTTTCCCTGTATAATGATCAAGTCATCAACTTTTCATGGAAACTAATATTCAGGCTAACATTCCGGAACATAGATCTACGATATGATCGAAATTTCACAAGAATCGGAGAAGGATTGAAAAAGTTACAGGGTGAACAATTCTGACAATTTTTGTTGTTGTCATTTTTTCTTGCCGGTGCGTATATATTGGAATGCTTACCTCTCCAGTCTCCTATGACGCATATTCCGATGCTTTTGTTGTTGAAATGGGGTGCGTGGGCTCCTACCCTGGACCACCCTCTACCCTCGTACGCCCGTCCATCGCTGCCCACTGCGAAGCTGTATCCTATATCCACCCAGCTGTTGTTTATTTGGTGCAAATCTTGCATCCACTGCATTGCTCCTGTAAGGGAATTTGTTCATGCTAACAACATTGGAGTGTACAATTATTTTTTTCTACTACTGGTATGGAAAGTAGTGCATTTCTCATTGCTAACTTGGTTTCAAAACCGTGTATTGCTCATACTGTGAGAAATATTTTTTCTCACGGCACTTTGCCAACACCACATACATTTCCATGGAGAATCAACAAAAATCGACCAAAACTTAATTGGCTGCTGTTCAGCTTTGAATAGTTGTCACAACTGTCAGTTTTTTAAATTCTTTAGGGTAGTTCTCATTAGTGCTTTTGATAGAAATCGCATTTTCCATCAAATATTATTTCAACAATTCATAATAAATAATATGATGTATATACCGAGATGTGACGATTTTGATAAATACACCGCCAGAGACAGAGATAATGGAAAAAGCTGCGAAAAATGGATTTGTTTCCGGAAATTTCAAGAAAAAAGTATGAATTGGCATATTGGTACGAAAAATTTATGGAATCTAAAAAAATACAGAAATAAAATCTTTTTCGGAAAGTGTACTTTTTTGAAATACTTTGAGGAACTCGGAAAGGCGTCTACTCTTTGGTCACAATATTCAATGTGGCATAGTGCCACATTATAAAATAAATACCAATAAGTTACATTACTTGGATTCTTTGGATAAGTGCAGTTGTAGAAAAAGTATAGTGTGCAACATGTGGGGAAAAGTACTTTTCTCACTCGTGTGTTTGCATCACTCGCCCTTCAGGCTCGTGCCACAAACTTTCACACTCGTGAGAAAAGTTGAACTTTCCCCACTTGTTGCACAATATACTATTTTCTACGGCTATAACACAAGATTGCTCTTGTTTTACTGTGTTCGATACATCAATGAGGTAATTTGTATGTCATCAATTTTATTTCCTTATCTGATATGATGGCTACAAGACGAAGAAATCGAAAATGCCGCTGTTATCTATTATAGCCGTAGAAAAATTATAGTGTATAACTTGCACGGAATGCTAATTTCCTACTCGAATGATTGAACTTCATTCTCGTAGGAAATCACTATCCATTCGTGTTCGTTAAACAATATACTATACTACGCCTATCACCTCCAAATATTTTGAATCTAGGATAAATGGTACATAATGTAATTTCGAATTGTGGAATAAAATAAAATGAATACTGTCTGTAACATATCAATTAATTTGATTGGTCGATTGTTTGTATTGTACGACGCATCTGAACTGCCATCCTAAAAAAACTTTTTTCACGAACATTTGCCTAATTTACAGTTGCAACTGTAAATTAGGCAGATGTTCTTGAACTGAAAAAAAAAGGTTTTTTTAGGATGGCAGCTCAGACTTACCTATGCAATCCTCTAAATTGTAGCAAGCTGGTGGCATGTAGCTATGATGGATAACTACGTACGGCACTGGATTCTCCATCGGTTGAATGGATTTGGGAGGTTTGGCATACCATTGGCTTCTTGGAATTATCTCTGGGTCTGTCAAGGAGTTCACTACTACAAAGATTTTACCGTAAGTAAAGATTCAATTTGGTGATTTTTTTCGGATTTTTGTTCATTTCATCCTATAAAAACTTGTCTGCCAACCGTTTGGGTTATTTTTGCATTCGACGAAAAAAAAAATTGATTAGGTTTGAATAGCTGCAACTCCACTCTCCAGTCATTGAGGAGTTGTGATGGAGTTATGGAAGCTTTTTCGTATTTGCGGAATAACGGTAAGGCGTAATTGGAATCTGTTGACGGAGACTTCTTCTATACGCGGGTTAGAATTATAAGGTTGATGGACTTTTTCAGAATTTCCACAATTGAATTTCCCCTTTGATAAACTTCCCAAGAAAATTAAAATGTCAATTTTCCGCATATAGGTATGCACAACTTTTATTTCAATTTTGAAGCGTACTAAAAGGGTCGAAAAAAATGAACTCTAGGCGATAGCCAATTTTTGTTGCAGCCAGTGAATTTGTCTCAAAAAAAGAATTCGAAACATCGAAATTAAATTTGCTTACCCAGTAAGTATAGACCCAACAATAACAATAATATAATCAAAATAATCACCAGTATAATTATTGTCCATCGTTTTATCGAATACATCAAACTTTCTATAGTGCTCTGTTACCTATATGGTTTGATTTTCAAACAGATTCACCTATATTTTCGTAGGAATAGGTAATGATCAACAAATTAAAAAAGTTTTTCACAGCTTAGAATCATAATAATATAGATAACACTAATGGAAAAATGCGCTCTATACAGGGTGATTCACAAGTAAGCGGCAATCTCTCGGGGGCCTAATCCTTGCATAAAAATAAGGCATAAAGTTCCTATCAATATTTTCTATAACTTCAAAACACTCTACAATTGAATTTTGTAAATTGGCGTACGGTATGAACATTTGATGGTAAACAAGAGTCTGAATTCGAAATTGTTAAATAAAATGTTAGGAAGGCATAGGGTTGTATTTTGTTTCTATATGGTAATAATGCAGGTTAATTTTCATCAATAAACATATATAATCAATATCAATAAACGCAAATCTGAAAGTTTTCAAGTCGATTTTCTCATAAATGGACAAATGGTACGACGCTCTATCGAATAGAACTAGGAGTACTTTTCTTACGTGAAAAACTCTAGAATTCTATAATTCCCAAACAAAATCACAATAACCTATAAGGAGTAGAAGAAAAGGGGATGTTTTTACTTTTTGGAAATTTGAATGCAGAATCTTCGGAATGGGATTTTTATACCGTAGACCACTTTTCAAAATTTCAAAACAGTGAAATATTTCGAAGATATAGAGAAAAAAAGCGATTTTGAGGTGTCCTATATTCAAAGGGGCCTAGCTCCCTTATGAGGGATACCGCTTACTTCTAAATCACCCTGTATAGGCATTCACTGATTGTTAAATTCTTATCTATTCCACCAACTATCTGGAAAATTAGTAGTGATTATTTCCAATAAAATTTGAAAAATTGTAGCCGTGTGTGACAGTAGTGTCTTTCCCCTTACAGTTAGTAGAAAGGACACAGGACCGTAATCCAAATTTTGGGGGGGGGGGGGCACCGAAGGTTTCTATTTCATATGTTGGAGTGCACGGAAAAAATACCTATGTTTGAATTATTTTTTATTTCTGGAGGAATTCTCGTGTGTTATAACTTCGTATTGGAAAAAAAAATCAGTTACGAAGACTCTTCTGCCTATGATATTTGAATAAGGTGAAGGCATTTTAATAACGATGGTAAGTATGGAGATAGAAATTCGTTACTAACCTGAATATTCAGTTCGTGAATGAATTTTCATTCTAATTTTTATATTATACATATATGTATATAATTTTTTTTAATGACTTTACATTCTTTCACTTTATTATGAAACTTGATAGTGATTGGAAATTATCTCACAAACTATGAGATGGAATTTTAAGCATGTATTTAGCATTAGTATGTTTGTGAACATTGCGTGGAAATGTTTCCTGAAATATTTTTTAATATTTTTTCGTTATAAGTACACAGTAATCTCAAAACATATGTGACAATGAACATGAGCAACACTAAACACTTTCGATTTGGGGATTTTTTTCAAATATAGTAATCAGATTCTTACCTTCGATTGAGAACACAATAACTAAAACACAATGCATTAAATTCACAGAACACAATCCCTTATTTTTATTCGACATTTTTTTTGTCACTCGACTCAATCACTCCGAAATTGATTAAAATCTCCACACAATATGATGATTCATTATAATAATTATTCTGTCATTATCAATTATCGCAGCTATTGATTTTGTTGATGATGCTTCTCAAACTTGTTTGGAATAGCGTAAATTACGGTTTATATAAAGGATTCGAAAAATCTGATTTTATATCGGCGCGATATAAACAGAGATAAGGCAGAGCGAGAAAGATAATATCAGAGTATAGTACGTACCAACCAGAACGACACACTGTTAATGTGGTTATAAGAAGAATTTCAGTAATTTATTCGCTTAATTAGGTATCGATTTTTAATTGTTTTCGTGTGAAAATTAAGGATATCCCCTTTCTATAGTTTTTTATGGAATTTTTCTAACTTTTTTCTGTATATATACAGTGTTATTTAAAACGAATTTTCACTATTAGTATAACTTTGTTAACTATTCCTAACTCTGATGTTCAAATTAGCAAACTAGCAGTAAAAAAATAACAATCAAGTATCGCGTTTTGGAGCGAAAACCCTCATATCTTATCAATTTCTGTTCTTTTAAAATTTCAAGTTTTTGGCAGAATCACCTTCGCAGTTTTTTTAAATAAAAAATCCTGATAGTTCGATAATTTAGATGATTATAGTCAGTAGTATAAGTACATTTATAACAAAGTTATTAATGGTGGCGAACAGTTAATTTGGATAACCCTATATATAGAGTTCCTTGTGCATGCTGATTCTTGAATATTCCTAAAACTTTTCATATTTTGTTTTTTGAAAAATAGGTGTCTCAAAGAGTTTCTATAATGGACGTCCACTGAAGTTTCATGTTTATCCCACTAATTTTATATTGTCCATCACATCAGAGGAGACAATATTATTCCATGATATCCCAAACTATATTGTAAACTTCACAAAAATGGTTGGAAGTAGAACCTACTCAACGTCAAAATCATCATAAGTCGAATATGATGACAATGTAGTTGTTTATCGTTGTTCTAATTATTTTATACTAGCTGTCCGGTCCTGCTTTGCACGGATGGTATTTTTTCGTGCTTACCTATAGCGTTGATTGATATATTACGCTTACGCTGGGAAGATGCCCAACCTTATGGGGCAAAACGAGGTTCAAAAAAATCTCACAACTAGATGGCGTACCATAGTTCGAAATCTCACATAGTGGCGGCGATAGTGTCGAACGATGTCGGAGCAATACTTCGTAATTTGACGGGCAGGTGCGCCACTTACGAAGAGAATCTATTGGAATGCAGATGGCGTGCGACTTGGAACAATTAAACAATCCATAATCCGGAACGCTTGTATCGAATCCATGATCAATCAGTACGATTCTAACTAATATGGCGGTAAATTCGAATTTGTTAGTAATAGTTGTACTGGATGTGCTTCTAACGAGCGCATCACGGACGTGAGATCATGAAAAAAGTTTATAGAAATCGAATTGGAGTGAATCACAAAATTTAATGTCTCAACAATAAATGCTTCCATTTTTGGCGATTGTGGAATAAACTGGTCAGCGGATATCAACATATAAGCTGCTCATAAATTTGATTGAAATTCATCACGAATCCGGACCAGATAGTGTTGTCACCTTAGTGTATTTTTTCCTAGAACTGAATCTAAATGGGTCTGTTTGAGTGGAATTTCATTTCTTCATGTCGAATTACTAAATCAAACGATAATTCACTGTCGCAAATCATTTTCTTGTCAGAGCTATGTACAATTTTTGAAATTTTTATTATTGAAATTACTGATATTTATCACATGAAAAACGCGGAACATTGCCTGACAATTCTATACCGCTATCAATCCAAATTATTTTATACTGGTATATGATCCGACCTATGTATTGCCGAAACTTGGAGTGCAAATAATTTCCTTTGATTTTTGTGGGTCGGCCAACTCGGTGCGTTTGTCGGCGATAGGGCTGCCAAGCCGTCGTTTGTCGCCCTAACAACATAAGTACATCCTAGGGACTTCCCAGGGACGTCCCTAATTTTATACAAGGACATCCCAGAGATATCCTTTGTCGGGACAGAGTACATACTAGGGACGTTCCAGGGACATCAACTGGCTGACAAAAAAAGCATCCAAGGGATTTCCGTCTGGTACGTCTCTGGGATGTACCAAGTACGAAGAAAGGATATCCCTAGGAGGTCCCAAGGATATTCCAGGGACATCCCTTCGACAAAAGAAAAAATGTAGGTCGAGTAGGGCTTGAACCCGGGACCTTTAGCTTTTTCAGGCACGCACCTTTTACTCCATTGGCTGATATGCCTTCTGAAGATTTATGTACCAAACAGATTTTTAAACAGGACCAAACTGCAGAAACCTGAATAAATACAACCTTGTTAGGATTTGGGTATAATTATTATCATTCGTGGATGTTTAAAAATGAGGGGCATCATGCATTTACGATTTCTGTTTGCGAAAAATGGTCATTTCTTGAGAAGTTCTGACTTTCTTTATTTTCATTACAATTATTTACCGGAAAAAAACAAACATTTTCATAAAAATTCAACTCAATATTTTGATGAAAGTCAATGACTCTGATGTGGATAGATATCAGATATACCAAGGACACGAATTGGATAACCTATGGATGTACGGGGCCAGATGTCCACTGGACAACCACTGCGGGACATCCCCTGGATACCCCAATTATGTCCTTGTACCGTGTGACAAAGAGGGGAAGTACCTAGTATACATCCCTGTGTTAGGGCGAGATTCTGAGCGTTCCGTAGTCTGTACGTTGATTGATATATTTTGATATATTACGCTTACGCAAGCGTAATATATCAATCAACGGTCTGTACTCCGTTGTTCTGAAGCGGCAAAATCGATTCTACTCAGAAAAAGTTACTGGTATCACAAAATATCAACGCCGATTTCATGATTATATATCGTGGCATATAGACTGGAAATGTAGCTGTTTTCTGTTGATTGTTATTATCTCTTCAAATATACTACCAAAAAAGAATTCATATTTTTCAACAACTATAGATACTGTAAAAAATGGTTCATAAGCTTGCAGCATCAACTCTTATTGTAATCCAATAAATAAATGAATTCTATATATGTTCCAATAGTTATGACTCACTCTGTATATTATGCCTATCATAGATGATGTATTTTATTTCATTTTTATAGTGAACCATTGACAATCAAAGATTCAAAGATATCTGACTATATATTTTCTATCTACTGATGAGACTCTAAGAAATTATCACATTCAGATTGATTATATTATCAATAATTTGTAATGTCTTATTAATACAAAACTTTAAAATGGATACAAATTGAGTAAAAATAATAATCAACGAAAAAGGCGTGGGGTGTTTTTCCAGATATACAAATTATATTGGTCTAGGGTCGAGGCAAAGTATGACAAGTTATTCACAAGGGAAATTAAAAAAACGCCACGGAGTAGGAACCCAACTGAGTGAGAGATCATAATATGTTCTTCTCTCTTCCGCAAGGAACCGAGGGAAAAATCAATACTGTCCATGGGATTCACCGACCGTAGCAAACATTTTTTTATCGGAACCGGTCGTGCGGGTCGGGTCTCATCGTAGAAGACAAGGATAAACAAAAATTTCTGGAGCGATAGCACGCGGTGGGATGGGATCTGTAATTCTGTACAAAAGTGTAGTAATCTGTACAATTAGTTCAGACATGTTCTGTGTGCCTAGTGGAGTCGCTACCTCACAGTGGTTAAACGATAGACGAGGGGATGAGAGGGGCATCGACTCGCAAATAACACAGGTTGGGCATCTTCCCAGCGTAAGCGTAATATATCAATCAACGCCTATAGCTACTACTATATAGTTAACCCTATTTTCATGCTCTTAGTATCATTTGTTTTTTTCTTGTTGTTTTACGTAGGTATTGAAAATTTCAACCCAAAATTTAAGTACGGAAGGATAATTCTTACTACCCGTTTTACCGTAGGAATGAAGCATTTACCCGCGGTAAAAAATAGCCTATGTTCATCAGGGATAATTTCGGTTTCTTATGGTGAAAGAATTTCTCAAATCTGTTCATTTGTTTCGGAGCCTATTCAGTACAAACAAACAATCACATCTTTCCCCTTTATAATTCATTGTGATTGATCTTTCTAGGTATAAATAGTATTATCTATTCTATTAATTCATTACCTATTCAAAGTTCTGATGCTAAATACTCTTTTTCAATAAGTAAAGTCGAGGTCTTTCGAAAACACATAACGTAACGTAACGGAAAAGACACATTATTACCATCAGAAGGTATTTTTGGTAATATGAGGTATTTTCCAACATCAAAAATTCATTTACTTCAACTATAGGTATCTCGGTTTTCTGAAAACTTTTCAGGTGACGTTCTGATTGTAGCGTACTTTATTGAGATTTTCTATTCGCAGATTTCCATGGTAAGTAGTTGTGGTAGGGATTTGCGGGGATTATCTTGTATTATTTCGTCATGCAATATCAATATTTAGCTGACTGTCCAACAATAATAAAGGCTCGAAAAAAACTATTTCCTCGGAATTGTATTGAACATTATTATATGAACATTATTTGCGCATTATTTGAAATTAAATTCAAAATACAAGGTGAACAACTGAATCTGTCATTGCCTAGATATCGCGGGGATTTTATTTTGGGTGAAGGTTTTCTAGCTTTGTGCACGATATAAGTATTATATCATATTATATAGAGAGAGATATTTCAAAATTTTTTCAGTGGGATCGTTTTCGGCATAGTCCCTATGAGTTTTCTTTTGATGTGCCCTGTAAATACGGCAGTAATTCTAGATGTGGTTCTTATTGTTTTTTCATCACTGTATTTTCTAGAACTCTCGTGCTGCAGTATGGAAAATTAAAATAAAAAGTAGTTTAATAAACTAGAAAAAGATGCTCTCATAGCCAATCTAAGAAGAAATAAAAAATGGAATAATAAAAGTGTGTTGATATATAGGGTGTTAACAAATAAGTGTCACAACGGAGAACTGTAGATTACTCATAATAAGAATTTCTTTCCTCTTCAAAAATTTTCTCCGGGCTTCCGTTTTCAAGATACAGGGCGTCAAAAAATCAAAAATGTTCAGTTTAATTAAACACACTTTACAACACTT